CTGCCCTGGATTCCCTCGAACTCGAGTGGGCAAACCGGGTGACTGGGATGAGCTTCAAAAGCCAGGCGCGGCCCCGCTGGGTTGAAACACCTTCCTCCTGCAGACATCTCAGCCTCGATCGGGTTTGGCCGAGGTTGTCCCTCTGAATTCCTGAGCTTGAGACAAAGAGCGGGAGGCACCCAGGAGAGTTTATGATGCACAAGCCATTTAAAAAAGAAAGGAATTTCAACTGTGAAAGACAGCCGAGGAACATGCCTAGAGGCCACAGGAATGGTGGAGGGGTAGATAGGGAGTCTTGAGGTTTTTTTTTACGATTGACCCCACCAACACATCTCTGTATTAATCGGCTGCATATTTTTAGTATGCCCAATTATTTTATTTTAACCCATCTTCTGCCTTTCCTCGTAGGTTGAGTTTTTATCAGCATCCACCTCTCTTCTCTTCTTTTTAAATGTGGTTACTAAAAAAAGAAAAACATATGACCCCTAAAACGCCCCCCTGAAACTAAACTCAGCGCAATATATTCGGTTACCAGCGAGAATCTGAAAGCAGGCGGTCCTGAAAACGCTTGCTTTGGATTAGTTCCGCAGATCTAATACGTGCGGTATGCCAGAAAGAGGGATACCAGGATCAGCGCTTTGGAAATGCAGCTGGATTTTCTTCCCCCAGGAACAGTGCTTAGAGGCGCACGCTTAAGAATCAGTCCCTCTGTATGCCTCTGCCTAGCGAAACGGCGCAGCATCTTTCAACGTTATCCCTGCGCTAGGACACAACAATTAAGGATGCTCAGCATCTCAAAGGGGAAATGGGAAGCCGCCGAGTTTATGGGTGATAGTTCCTGCTAGCCAATATGCTAATGAAAATTAGATTCTGCCTCGAACGTGATCTGCCCGGAGAAAAAGGCTAATAAATTCCCATTCCGGATGCATTTATGCAGAGATTAGGTGAACTTTGACCTCTGGAGGGTTGTTGCAATTAGACACAACGTGCAGCACCTTCAAATGTTCGGGTTTTGCGTAGTCCCGCGGTCCCTTCCCGCTTGCTTTCATTAAAATACGGGCCGGGAGGAGCGTGCAAACACGTTAAAGAACTCGCATTTGTTCACACGAGCAAGGGCGCGCCCGCGCGCACACACAATTTGAATTGTGCGCGCCCTTCGGGGCGTCTCCGGGGGATTGTTAAGAGGTTGGCTGCATTATTATAACGCAAGTTTTGTGCTTTCTCGATTTGGAAGCCCGCTGCCTTGATCTCAGGTAGGGCTTGCTTCAAGGAACATCTGAATCGCCTCAAATGGCCGCCTCTTTCGAGTGCTTCTTTCCTTGAATAAAGCCGCCAAAACTGTCCTCATCCCAGTTAAGTCGAAGCAATGGGATCTACGGCTTGGCTGGAGATGGGGGTGGGGTGGGGGAGGGGTTCCTTTAAATTCTCTGTTTTGTGTAGATACTGCGAAAAAGTTTGATCCAAAAACGCATTTACCGGGAAGCGCATTCTTGCTGAAGTCATCAGGGCTTGCTGCCCAGAAAGCAGATGAAAGGCCCGCGCTTTGCTCTGTATAATTTAAAAGTTGTTGTTGCAAACAATCTCCCTCTTTCACTCGCTTAAAAAAATGTGCACTGATTTTAACAATGGCTAAAGATCATCAAGGCTAGAACAAAGAAGGACTAGAAGGAGACGAGGAGGAAACAAGATTTTAACCCCACAACTGGGGGGGGGGGATGTTTTTAGTTTTAAGTCAAAGGATCAAGTTTAGCATTAGAATAATAGACAAGAGGCTCCGCTGGGAGATGAGTGAGTGTGTGTGTGTGTGTGTGTGTGTGTGTGTGTGTAAATAATTGTTGCCTTTAGCAGAGAGCTGAAATAAACCACTGGGACACATTCTAAAGTGACCCACCGCTGAATTCATTTCTGCTTGAACTTTCGGTGAACCTGAGATTAAACAGGGGTGAGCAGCTAAGCAGTTTGTTGCGAGCTGCCTTTTCAACAACCCTTTTCAGACTGAGTAAATATTGATCGCTTTCAATCTGATTGCCCCAGAGGAAAACACCGAGCATCTCAATGTAGCCTCCAAAAGTAAACTTTAAAGGTGAACATCGAAAATAGATCTCGGGCTTGAAAAAAGACGCTCAATTCCTTGAGACGTTTGGCTGAGTTGAGGGTAATAAATATATACACAGTCATAAGAGGACCAGGATGCAAATAAGCAGACCAAGGATAGCTGCTGTTGGCATCTCTATCTCTATTTTTTAATAATAATAATAATAATAATAATAATAATAATAATAGGTGACCCCCCTCCTCATCCTTTTGCACAATTTGGGGGAAAGAATGAGAAGATTTATCGCAAATTCTTTTGTAAATAAAGCGAACATGAGGCACTAATCGATTCACAGGTGTGATTAATCGATTTGTAGCAGCGATTGACTAATTCAGCCGCAGAGACAGCAGCGTGGGTTTCGGAGAGCCGTGAAACCGTGAAGCTCGGAGCAAGTTACCCCGAAGCATGCGTGCACAAATCTTCATTCACACACAATGTGCTTGGCTTTTATTTCATCCAAAGGAAGTCCCAATAGCCTTTATATCTCCCCTCAAATTAGGCCATGCTTTGGGGTCTCCTTCCAAATACCGTTCATCGATGAGAGAGTCCGCCGACCACCGCCCCATTCTAAATCCGCTTAGGATCGAGATGTCAGCCATGTTATTTGGCTGACAAGCCTATTGATCAAATGTCATATATACGTATATATCTATAGATATATGAGGAGAGCGGCCTCAGCTCCCAGTGAAGGGCGGTGTTTCTGCCTCAGCATAAATGAAGCGGCTCGGGAGGAATGCTTTTTCTTGCTGGTCTTTGTCCAAACCAGTGAAGCTGCAATTTCACATTCTTAGTGGGGAGCAAGCCCATACTCAGCTGGGGGGGGGACAGATTTCAGGGTAAACGTGCCCAGGGTCGAACTGGTTATTTTTTTAGGAAGCACTGCTGCGGCGGGCGTCAGTCAAGAAGCCTGCGTCACGAAAAGTGAGTTATTTATTCCTGAATAACCTCCACATGAAACGTTTTAGCAGGGAGGAGGAACTTTCTTCCTGGGGGATTTGGCCCTATGTAGGTGTCCCCGAATCGGGGCCCACTAGCGGTCCCCGGCCTAATCTAAAGCGGGTCGCAACGGCAGCCCTACTAGACGGTAAAATAATACGAATAAGGAATGGGTCTCGAAAGGTATGCTCGGGTGAATAAGGGGAAGATGCAGATCCACACTATAAAGCGCGTTCAAAGCGCGTTTCCCCGCTCCCCACAAGAATCCTGGGAGCTGTGTTGGGAACTGTAGCTCTGTGAAGGGTCAACTACGGTTCCCTAGATCCCTGGGGAAGGGCGCTTAATGTGTATTGAAATGCAGAAGGTTATCTTAGGACAGCCTCTTCCCTTCCCCGCCTGGCACATGCGTCCTCCTTTAAAAGCACCCGCCAAACCCTCCATAATATTATTGCCAGCCTTTTGTTATTGTTCTCCCGGTTCCACCGAACGAGTCAGGAAGGAAGGAAGAGCGCAAAGGATGCGGAAGGGTCAGGCGGCCGCCGCTTGCTTGAGGAGGGCCAGCTCTCTCTGAAAGGTGATCCCGATCAGGCCCTCTCGGCATGCAGAGATAGATGCCCTTTGGGTCACGAAAGCCTCTGGCAGAAGGCCATCTGCTGAGTTTGCAACCTCACCCTAGTCAACAAAATGATTTTATTTTTTTATGTATATAAAACTATAAAGCGGGCGGGCGGGGGGCCAGCAAAGGAAGGGAGGATAAAATGAAACCTGGGTCTCCTTGCTTTTGAAGTTACAACAAGGCATTCAAGGGAGCCCTTTGGAGACAAGCCCTGCGCAATAGCAGGGGAGAGGGGCGGGAGGGGGGGTCTCTCCTCCTCGCCCTCTTGATATGGCCGATGCGCCTGGAAATCCAGGCTGCTCTGCCTTTGACACTTCAGCCGAGAAGCCGCAGACGACTCGCGCGCTCCGGCTCTCTCAAATCCAGCAGCCTCCGCTGTTGTTTTCACAGCCCGGGCTCAAAGCTTGTAAAAGTCTCCTGCAGATCTTGCAGCCAGGAGGGTGTTTTGTTTTGTTTTGTTTTGTTTTGTTTTGTTTCTTTTAAATCCCCAAAGAAAGAAACACAGCTCCTCAGACGGGCTGAAGTGGATGGAGAGCCTCGATGTTCTGGCTAGAGAGCTTGGAAGAAAAAGCGGGGGCGCGTTAGAGGGTTCTGCAGATCTTAAACAAAACAAAAAAACCAAAAACAAACTTGTTTGCAAGTCTTTTCAGGAAGTAACTTCAATTCACCTGCCAGAACTTGTTTTCCAAATAGAGGGGGGCGGGAATAGTGTGGGGTTTGCAAGGACACGTTGGGTTGAACATACTTGGGTTCGGAAATTGTCTGCAGACCACGCAGGAATCGGAGTTGGATCAACAAGGATCTCTCCCTCCCTCTTTCTCCCTCTGTGAACTTTTATCGTGCTTTGTGCCTTCAAGATGTCACTGACGATTTAGAAGGCAGGGAGTGACGCTGGGGGTTCCTTGGACAGCTTTATACCCAGGGATAATGAAATGTGACTCTCTTAACTGGTGGCTTGTAATGTGAGGAAAGACCGGCCGAAGACAGCTTCTGCTTTTGAAGAGGACTCTGTTTACACACAGGTCAATATTCAGTTCGGGGTGAAAAGGTTAGCCCTTGACCCAGGAAGTTCCCGCAAGTATGGTTCAAAAATAGCTCCGCTTCCTTCGCCTTTCTCTTAATTGCAGAAGATAAACATGGATCTTTCTCTTTCTATTGATTAATAGACCTACTTTGTATAATCTCGGGGTACTGTACGTAATGTGCAGTCAAAGGGCGCGAATAATTCGATGTAGGCATATCTGAGGAGGATATCTGAGCAGCCGATCAAAAGCCACTCCAGGGGAACTGGAAAGGGTGCAGAAAGCTTAATCTCAACCCCAGACTCCGCTTTCCAAAAGATACCGAAGTAAAAACCTGAGATATGAATATATTTATTACAGAGATTTGTAGGACCCGTAAAATTCTGCTCTGGATTCATTTCTCTCTTTTTTTTTCTTTTTAAACACAGAATCTCAGAACCTTGGATGATTGTACAGAAAAAAATCAGAAAGTACTCCATCACAAATGACAACTGATAGAACTCAGTGTTATTTTCACTGAGTACATCCAAGCGGTTGTGCATCATGCAAGTTCCATCCACGAATCACATAAAATATACATTCGTTTGGCCATTCATCACATTCAGGAATTGGGTTGAAAAGACTTCAAGTCTAAGGAACGTTTTCTGGGGGTGGGGGGAATCTCCCCTCTCCCTTTTTAATGATAATATTGGGGGTTGGGAATGATCCAGCACAGAGTTCGGGAAGGGGGGGATTTAAAGCGGGGGTAGACACTAATAAGCAAGGTTTATTTTTTAAAAACCTAGTGCAATTTCCACTTTCTTTTCTAGCTCGTTCAAAGAAATAGTAGCAACCTATGATTTTTGAGGTATCTGATTGAGTTGAACAACTTTTCGTTCGTGACATCCTCACTTTTCGCTATAAAATCGAATCCAGTGTTGAGAATGTAACCACCCTGTTTAAGCTCATCATCTTATCTAAACATTTCTAGAAAATCCGTAAAAAGATAAATCTCTGGGACAAAGTATTTACAACCAACAAAACTCATACACACGAGAAGACAAGAGACATTAAATTAAAGTGGTGAAAGTTCTCGAAGTCGTGTAAACGCTTTCAATAGTGCATCTATTCGTGAATTTGGGTCTGACAGGTCTTTGGTTGGAGGAGAAAACTGTAGCAATGTCTTTGGCAACTCGATTCTGATCTAACAAATTCTCTTGATTGTTCCCACAATACAGTCTTTAGAGAGATGAAAACAGATCAACTCTGAGGAGCTGAGGCAGGCTTAGTGAGTGATACTGAATAAGCTACTCAGAGTGAGGTCCTAAACTCCTGGGCCACAACCCAGCCAACGTGAGCCAGCTCCCATTGAAATCAACTGAGTTTAAAATAGTCACAAAGTCCCATCCCGCTCCTTTTCATGGGATTTAGGGATGATTTAACAGCGCAGTCCTGTGGCCTGCCTACTCAGGCGTGTTGGCTTCCAGAGAGCTTGCTTGCAGGCCTTATAGGATCTCAGCCTCAAAGTTGCTAAATTTGTGAGAGAGTTCCATTCAAATCAATGAGACTTGTCTCCAGATCAAAGGGTTCAGGGTGAGAGTTTGGGTTGCTCTCTCCGCCAATTGCGTGAGAGTCGGAAAATAAACAAGGGGATAAGTTCGAAACACAATAAATTTACTCTTAGATTGTGCCTTAGAGGGAGAATGAGGAGCAGCGCGTCTTTCAATTCGAGGTAGTCAGAGTGTCTGAGGTAGAGGAGGCTGGCGAAGGGGTACAGGGGGATGGGCTGGACTTTTCCGAGGACTCCTCCGCTTTCTCTTCGCTTCCTGTTGGGGTGGCCGGAGAAATGGGGAGCAAGCCCTCTTTCTCTCGCTTCTTCTGCTTCATCCTGCGGTTCTGGAACCAGATCTTGACCTGAGTCTCGTTCAGCTGCAGCGAGGCGGCGATCTCCACCCTGCGGGCCCGGGTTAAGTATTTGTTGAAGTGGAATTCCTTCTCCAGCTCCGTCAGCTGTTTGGTGGTGAAGTTGGTCCGGACCGTGTTGGGCTGACCAACATAACCGTACTCGCCAGCTTTCCCTAGAGGGAGGGGGGGGAGAGAGAGAGAGAGAGAGAGAGAGAGAGAAAGAGAGAGAGAAAGAAAGAAAGAAAGAAAGAAAGAAAGAAAGAAAGAAAGAAAGAAAGAAAGAAAGAACAACAACCCACATCAGAAGCGTTAACTCGATGCAATGATTTATAGGTGACATGAATCAATAGGCAGGCGCGCGCAGGTACAAACCATGGAGAATGAGCTCTTAAAGTGAAAGGAACTTTGTGGGCCAATCGGAAACCTGCTTATTCCTAAGTAAAGACCTAGCGAGTGCACATGGGCTAACTTCTTAGTGTCCGCTTGTCCAGTGAAACAGCAACTGAACTCACCTAGATCAGGGGAGATCTGACGACCGGCTGCTTTGTGATCCACAGCGGGGACACAAACACATCAAACTGCGTTATAACACGAACCCCAAATCACAACACGACCTTTCCCCCATGTCTGGAAAACCGGTACGCTTCAGGATCCCAACCATACCTGTTCCCATCGTACCTGGGACCATCAAGTTGATCTGCATCTACCTTAAATGCAGATCTTCTGCGTCCACCTTACAAAAATAATAATGAAAAGAAGAAAACTTCGGGCCCGAACTTTCCAAAGTCCAGAGTGATCGCTCAGGCAGGTGACTCACCTGTTTTGGGAGGGTTCCTCTTCACTTTCATCCAGTCGAAAGTCTGGGCGGGAGGAGAAGTCTCCGACGAAGGGGAAGCGCAGCCTTCCTGGTGGTTCGAATGAAGTGGAGACAGGGGGTGGCTGTAATTGGTTAGGGTTAGACTCTGTTGCTCTTCCCCGTAAGAGGGGTGGATGTACTGAGCAGAGCCCACGGGGCCCCCAGCGTAAACCTGGGGCTGCTGAACCACGGAGGACGAGACGTTTCCAGAGTAGAGCGCAGGAGCGCACTGGGGGAAGCCCCCATTAATCTCTGCCTCTTGAGCGAGTGGGTAGTGGCTGTAGCCCCCCGCGCCGAAGTTCTGCACGCCGTAGGTGGGCCCACAGCTCGGGTGGGCGTAGGACATCCCCAGGTTGGGGTGGTGCTGGTAGGTAGCAGTCTGGTGGTGGGGATGGGGGCTGATCTGGACCCCCCTGCCCACGAGGAAGCGGTCGTCCCCGTTGCAGTTGTTGGCACTGACAGCGCAGGACTGGAACGTGGTGGTGGTAATCCCATGGTCGGGGTGATGGTGGTGGCGGTGGTGGTGGTGGTAAGCCCGGGGTGAGCAAGTGGCGGACTCGCCGTTGAGGATGGGCGGATAATCGAGGAAGGAATTCATCCTCGCCGTGTCCATCTATCACCGGTTGACCGGCTCTTCGGAGTCCTGGGTGACCGTGCCAACTTTCTCACTTCCTCCATGGGGGCCAGAAGAAAAATGATATGAATGTACAGTGAGACGGCGGCCACGTGAGGGCGGCAGCCAATGGCTGCTCCTCCTGCCAAAGTTGCCTTGCTCCTTCCTGGTGATGGATCACCCTGGCTGTGGCATTTAAATTCCGAGCGCTCCTCCATCAAGGTGACGCGCAGCCACCACCACCTCCCTCTCTCCCTCCCTCTCTCCCTCTTTCCTTCTCTCTCTCCACACCCCCCATCTCCTCCCCCATCCCCAGTCAGCGCGTTGGGGTTTGAGAGCCGGGCCGGAGAGGCAGTGCGCGCCCAGGCGCTCAGCCTGAAGCAGCAGCAGCGGCAGCAGCAAGCACGGAGCCGCCGCCGGAGGGGGCTGCTCTTGCATGGATTTACGAAGGGACAGCCTGGGCTTGGCAGGTAAGCAAAGGGACCCGCGCAGGGCGTCCCCAGTTGGGTAGCTGCTCCTGCTGCTGCTGCTGCTGCTTTCTCCAGGGGTGTCGTCGAGAGAGCACAGCTAGGCTGAACCTTTTCGGCTACAGTTAGATCGCTTGGATCATTATGGTCTGCCTTGGGCAGCCTCCAGCAGTCTGGGGTTGCTGTGTGAGAGAGAGAGGTGGGGAGAGAAAGAGAGAGAGAGAGAGAGAGAGAGAGAGAGAGAGAGAGATATCAAGGGGGCTGGGGGAGGTTTGGGGGCATGGAGAGAGGTAGGAGGCCGGCGGCTGAGCTCTGCCAGTTGCCGAAGCGTCCTCAGACAGACCCCGGCGTGCGCGCGCGAACCGGCAAGAGTTAAAATGCGCTTGGTCCAGCCTCTCTCTCGCGGTTATTTGCATGGAAATGAGGCTCTCTGCAAGGCAACGCCATTGTTGCTGCTGCTGCGGGCAGCGTGGTTGGCTTTAACGCACGGGAATGGCGCCGTTGGCTCCTGGAGACGGGGAGTCAGGGGGGGGCAGTTGGAGCCGGCAGCCTGGGCTGAAACGGAGGCGGTAGTGTGCCTGCCTGGCGACTGGGTACTGGGTTGCTCTTTTTTTCGGACGATCCGACGCTGCTGGGCGCGGTTAGAGGAAGGAAGCGCTTACAAAGGTTGCCAGGGAAGCTTTCTCAGGTTCTCTCCGGCAGCTGAGCCGCCAGAGCGCCTGTGCAAACTGTCAGGCCTCTCCTCTCTCTCACCTCCCATCCACTTTTGCTCCCCCACCGCGCTTCTCACATATAACCTTTGCCTCCCTCCCCCCACCCGCAAGGAGTGTCCACGGGTTGAAACCATGAGGTCTAGAAAGATGCGAGTCTTTAAAACAGCAGCCCTCTGGATGGCATGGCCAACGGTTAGGGGGAGGAGACTGTCTGGAGGAAGGGGCGAGGAGGTCGACAGCGCTCCTCCAGGCGCTTGATCACTAGGCTGCCGCCCTCCTTCCGAGGAGGGAGAGAGGGCTCCGAGGGAAACAAATGGCCGGGCGTTGGGAGAGGCCTCTCTCGATTCCCTCCCGAGGACCGCAAGTGCTTTCTTCTTGGAGATGTAAATCCCTGGTTCCGCTCAAGTCCGTGGGGCCAGGAGAGACGCCTGGCTTTCAGTGGGGCTAGACCTGCCCAAAGGAAAGGCAGGGTCAGCTTAAACCTGGAGGAAAACCGCTGGGTTGGATGTGGGGAGGTGGTGCGTCCCACGGGGGCTTCATCTGCACAAAAAGGAGAGGTGAGCAGGGAGGACTCAACAGCACAGAATTCAGCATAAAATCGTAGAATGGTAGAGTTGGAAGGGACCCCAAGGGTCATCTAGTCCAACCCCCTGCAATGCAGGAAGGAAAACAGGCCTGACTAGAAAGATGGCAGACTTTGCCTGCCGGAGTCCGGAAATAACTATGCGCACTTCTTGCAAATGTCGAAATCAGCCCAATAATTTAGTATTAGTGTGTTAATGGCTGCTGCTTCTATGTTATTTACACACACACACACACACACACACACACACACACACACAATGTATGATTCCGTACCACCCTAGTCCCTCTGAAACTATAACACTATTTTCATTCCTAAAATGCTGCTGATCTGGATTAGGCTGTTCTCCGGCTTCCCCTTTCTTCCTTCTCCCTCTCTCAAAAACGAGGCCCACTCAAAATATTGATAAGCGTGCATTGTTTACTAAGACAAACATGCCCCAAATCTGGCTGTGAGACTTTGAAAGTCTCATGCGTACTTCCTGGCTTTCCTTTGGTAGAGCTAAACTCGCTCTGAGTGGCACTTTAAAAACATTTCCTTTTGGCCCTGTAGTCACACCTCGGATTTCTCTCTCTCTCTCTCTCTCTCTCTCTCTCTCTCTCTCTCTGCGTGTGTGTGTGTGTGTGTGTGTTTAAGAGTAATATTTATATATTCTTCAATTTACTGGAAGGAAGGAAGGAAGGAAGGACAGATACAGGGTTCCCTTTACGCATAGCCCGATTGATTTCCATTCTACTCATTGCACGCACAGTCACGTATTGCCCAGGCACGACGGTCTGGGAGTAGATCGCATCGATATGAGCGGCCAACTCGTGGCCCGAGGAGTGGATTCACAAGGAGGCGTTTTGTAAAACAAAAGAACGTGCATGTAGGGATTTAATATTTCCCTAACAGCTTTAGATGTGAAACTATGTTGGTGCATGCCGGCTTTGAAAACAGGGTATAAATCCTGATCTAAAGGAAGCCTTGTTCCCTATGAAAAGTTGGTGATTTTATTTGGGCCCCTATCCTCTCCCTCTCTTTCTCCTTCCTGGCCGCCTTTCTCTGAGCAGAAACCTCCCTCCCGTGCCTGCTGCTACGTTGCTCCCTTCCACACTTTCTCCCCCATTTCTCCGCCATTGTTCAGAAGAACTCTTTCCCCTTTTGTTATATTGTCTCTGTGGCCCAACGCTTTTGCATTCTGAAGCCAACACAATTCCTCTGTTTTGCCAGAATGCAGAAGGAGACACATGGAGGGCGGGGTGGTGGCGGCGGCCGGGGAGATCGGGGGAGGGGGGACGCCTTTCCCAGTGTGGCGAAGCAACCACATTTCCCATTCCATGTCTGCCTTCTGGAAAACGCAAGCAGGCCCACAGAAAAGCCCCCTAAGCTCGACGAAGGCCTTTCCAAAGCAGGCCCTGCCCCCCCACCCGTTTCCCCCCACCCCACCCCACCGTCCCCCTACATCCGCCTTTGTTGAATCGGTTCCTCTGGTGGTTCTGAACGTCACCAAACCCATCTCTGGCCTTCGTCCCTGCGGCCAGGGCGCATTCTGTTTTTGCGTTCGAAAAATAATCTTTCGAATTTCTCTCTTGTTCGTTTTGAAAGAGGATATCTGCAGGGCTTGGCCTACTTCTGATATGCGGGGGTGGGGAAGAGAATCTGCTGTGGGGGGAGTCGATTTGTATGGAAGGCTTCTTTTGTCTTTGAACCGGAGGCTCCCCCCCCACACACACACAACAAACCTGAGCGCTGCCTTCTCTGTATAAAAGGAAAACGTTCCGAAATGCACGCCCGAAATGGAATTTTCTGTGTCACAAACCAGGCAAACCCTTAGCAAAAAGGGGGGGCGGGGAGAGAAAAAGAGCGGGGGAGCGCCCGGGATTCCCTGCCGCACCTGAAGCTTAGCCAAGCTGTTGTTTTAACAGAGCAATAAAAATGAATTATGACTAACCGCCTCCTAGTTTAATGGTTTCAGACGGGGATCCCCAGCCCGAGCAAATACGTAAGAGGATTTTTATTTGTGCATGTGTTCCTGCAATTGATCTCTTTGATGACATTCTCATTCACAGAAAGCGCTTGATTTATGACTTTAGGAAGAATTGCATCCAGTCTTTCCACGCAGCTCAGCGCCACCCCACTTAGAGGGGGTTTGCAAAACAGGGAAGCCAACGGCGACCACAACAAACGCGCGCAGAGGAGAGCAACCAGGAAACCCGCGCCTGCAAAGATCTGGGGAAGTTCTTAAGGAGCGGGCTATAAATATCTACATTGGCATATCTACATACACACGAAGATGTATGCTAACACCTACTGATAGGCAGTGGGGCAAAAAAGAAGAAGAAAAGAGGCACACTGGATTTTGCTAACAATCCGAATTGAAATCGGATTAGAGAATATACACAGCTATCCCCGCCTGGTAGCACTTTTAAACGGACCTCATGACTCTACACTTGTTAGTCCAGTTCCAGTAGGACTCGATGCCCTCCAACAGCTTTTGTTCCGTAGACCTAGCGAAAGCCACAGGATTTCAAAGCGATTTTTCATATGCATTGCATACTGTACATCCTAATCGCGTGTGCTTGTGTTTTAATTCTCTCCTCTGATTTCCTCTCTTTTAGGTTTCTTTTCTCGGGGCCTTCGGACAGCTGGGAAATCCATCAAATGCCTTCCTTTCTCAGCTCTGGTTCCCCACACCACCATCCCTCCCCCCTTTCCAAGGCACGGGTCGCAAAAGAAATAGTTAAAAAGAGCGTTCAATAGTAGAAACCAGTATACACTTCTGTGGATTTCTGGCCATTTATGCAGCAAGGCTTGCTGTAGTGCTTTTTGTTTCCCCTTGCAATAATATGATATATTCTGCCTATAATACAATATCAGTTAAAACGTAGAAGAGAATTTTATATAATGTTACGATATATTAAACCTATACTATAATAAAACGTTTGCGATAGCACAGAAACATTTTAACGTGTGCTTCTAATGTCTTATGGGCATTCAAGGGAGGGGGGGATATATTTTTATGTAAGTTTTGGAGTTATTTTAGGTTTCTTTTTTTCCTCCCCCCTATTTGAATATTGAGAACTTTGGAAATCCATCATTTACCGCTGGCTTCCCCCCTAATAAATATATTTCTAACGAAAAAGGACGAAGGTTGTGACCAAATTGTGTTGTTTCTTTTAATTTTATTTCAGGACTAGGGGAGGGGCGGAGATTAACTTCCTTGTATGAAGCAGAGAGAAAGAGAAAGAGAGAGATAAAGAGATAAGAAAAATGCTTGTAGCAAACAAGAATTTATTCTACCAAAAATACTTATGACAACGCATCCTAATGTAATACAAAAATAAAAAGAAAGTGAAGATACAATTTTGATATGATCACTTTCTTACAGGCCTTATATATTGCTTTTCATAGAAGGACCTAGAATGGGACTAGGTTTAAAACCGGACACAACTAAAAATGTCATAGGCAAACGGCAAAATAAGCTCTCCAACACACCGAGAAGGAAAAATAAAAATAATCAGGAAAATACTGACCAGGAAAAGGGAAAGAAATTAAATCAAGTCATCCCCCTCCCCCTCCCGCTCCCCCAAAAAAAGGAAAAGGAGAGGGGGGAAATAACCCTTTTCGGAAAAGTTGGTCTGTCATTTCTCAGTAATTCAGATGCTGCAAGTCAATTGTGGTGAGTGTATCTGTAAAAAAGTCAAAGCTGTCAGCTGAAATATCTACAGGGCTGTCGAGGGACCCTGGCAGACTGGGGGAGACGGCGTCGGAGAGCTGTAGGCAGGAATCTGCGGAGAAAACGCTGAAGTCCTGTAAAGAAGGCACCTCCAGGGCCTCAGGACTGTCATTGTTCAGGCCAGCTGCACAGTTCTGGGCCATTGTTGACAGGCAGTTGGGAACAGTGGGTGACTGATGCTGAAAATGTTTCAGATTTTTCTCATTGCTCGTTAAAGGCGAAACTGGGAAACTTTGGGACTCTCCATTGTGGACAGTGACAGCCTGCTGTTGCGCTAGTGCATTCTGCTGAAAAGTGTAGCCTTCCCTTTCCGAAAGCGCGCCTGAGACATTGTTGAGGGCTTGCTCGAAGAGGGATTTCTCCTCCTCCTCCTCCTCTTCCTCCTCCTCCTCGTCGTCTTCTGCTTTCTCGGGATCCTCCAAGCCTTTGAATTTCCCTTCGCTGTTCTGGTTCTCCTTGCACTGGGTCTGCCTCTTGTGCTTCATCCTCCTGTTCTGAAACCACACCTTGACTTGCCTCTCGGTCAGATCCAGGAGAGCGGCGATCTCCACCCGCCTCGGTCTGCAGAGGTACTTGTTGAAATGGAATTCCTTCTCCAGCTCCAAGAGCTGCGTGTTGGTGTAAGCAGTCCTCAGCCTCCTGGAGCCCCCGGTCCCATTTTCGGAAATCTCCAGAGATTCTGCTTAGAAGGAGACAACAAGCACCATTAGAATGAGAGATATGAAAGGGAGGGAAAGAGAGAGAGAGAGAGAGAAGGGAGAATGTCTTATTTTAGGATTTTGAACATCCAAGCCTGGTGGGGGGAAATGAGCTAGTTGGAGGGGGGGGCTCTTTCTTTCTCTCTTAAAGCATTAAAATTTCAACTGCAACAAAATGGCCGCCCATGAATGCAGTAAATCCATTGTGTTTGCACTCCTGTGAGCCCGGTCTCTTGGACCCACTTTGCCTTCTCCCCCCACCCTCCTCGCTTAGCTCCAGGAACTTGATTTGCCTCCATCTCCCCAACCTGCCCATACCCGAGCAAACTTTGATATTAGCCATACAACAATTTATAATTAATGCATCAGCTGCTTAGCTGAGCAAGAGCAATCTATCACTCTTCATTACTGTCAAATATCCCAACTCTAGGACAGCGAGACAAGAGGAGGGTCACCTCCAACTCAAATAAATCATCCCACGCTAAACAAGTTAGGGGAGGGAAAAAAGAAGAAACTTTGTTTGGGGTGGGGGGATTTGGGGGTGTCGGCGGGGTTGGTTTCTGAGGAATCTGCCTGTGGATCCCCCACCAGACCTCCAGCGAACCCGGATTGGAGTGCCGTAAGTTAGGGAGGCACCCATCCAAGCGAGAGGGAGTGGGAGAGGAGAAAAGGAGATTATATGGAGATAGAGAGAGAGAGATCTCTGAGTCCCAGGAAGGCTGAAGGCGCAGCAAAGTCTTTGAACTGACCTTTGTGGCTCAGGCAGGCTGGTCCAGTGGCGGAGGCCGAAGGAGGCGGCAGGACAGTTTTCTTGGAGGCTTTTTTCTCCTTCATCCAGGGGTATTCCGGAGGCTGGAGGGCGCCGGCTGGCACTGGGCTGCCGCTGCTGGCATTGGGGCTGTGCTTGGGGCGGCTGCTGCTGCTGTGGCGAGGGTGGCTGCCTGGGTTCAGGCTGGGGATGGTCTGCTCAAAAGGAGGAGGAATCAGTGTCGAGTGTGAAAGCGTCGAGTTCTTGATTGATGAACTTTGAAATGTATCACCGACAGGGGGAAAAGATGTCAGGCACTCAGCGAGCGATGGCTGACTATTGATAAAACCAATCTCTCGCTCAAATTCGAAATTCATGGCCTTCAACTCGCAGCCCCCTTGGAGAAAAAGTTCCCTCTTATTTAGCGCTTCTGGGAGGGGGAGGGGGGAGCAAGGCCCAGGAAAAGGGGGGGGGAGGGAGGAAAAAAAACCGAGAGAGAGGGAGAGAGAGAAAGGAAGAGGGAGAGAGAGAGAGAAAAGGGAAAAAAAATATCATAGAAGATCGCTGGTGGGGTGTTTTTTTTCTAATTCACTGATTACAGCCGTATGGGGACCGTGCTACTATTAAACTATTGAATTCATGGAGACAAGGTTGAAATTGGACCGAATTGGCTGTCACATGATTGCCTCTGCCCAATGACAATTTGGGCTTTAATCAAAAGAAGCCACTGTCTGTTTGATTGATCCAAAAAAGTCGGGAAGGAACGCCTCATTGGGGGCCAGCAAGGCATTATTTATACTTTTTAAAAGGGGGGAAAGGGTATCTCCGCCGCGCGCTCTCTCGCTCGCTCTCCCCCTTTTGCCTCCTAATCTGAAATGATATCTGAGGGGGAGAGAGAGAGAGAGGGTGTGTGTGTGTGTGTGTGTGTGTGTGTGTGTGTGTGTGTTTGCCTGGGTGGGTTGTCTGAGCTGCTGCTGCTGTTGCTGCTGCCTCTGATGCTTAGCTTGGCCGGGGAGGCTCCCTTGCCCCGCTTGCCTCCCCTCCGCACACTCCCCCTTCTCATTGTTTGGGACTGTCAAGCAAGCGCCTTGCACCTCACAAATCACGGGCGCACCTCCATCGGACGCCCTGAGTCATTAACGAAGTCATCCATTTATCTCCAAAGTTGTGACACCGCGGGCCCCCAACATCTCCACCGCAGCACAAAAAGTTCCACCCGGCCAGGGGATGCCAAGGAAGGGAGTCTTTGCTTATATTTGATTTGGGTTTGTTTTTTCCCCTCCCCCCGCCCCCCCATCTCCAACAAAACCCGGACCCAACTCCGTGCTAAGGACTAACCACTTCCTTAAGAAAAAATTAAAGGACGGCAAGGTTGGGGTTTCCTCCCCCTCGATCACGACCTGGCATCTTTCCCCCCCGCAATTCTCTCCCTGTTTCAGCTGAGGGTACAGTATGGAGAACAATTGGCCGCCGGTCCCTGCCTCCATCCATTGTGTCGAAGGAATTTCTCCAGCAGCTTCGCTCCTAGGGGAAGAGTAAGAGCACGCAGGCTGGTGGGTCGCTACTTTCTCCCCGCAGTTGTCTTGACAGAAGCGGACGGTTCAGAGGAGATACAGATTTCCATTAGACCCTGGGACTGCAAACACAGTTTCCGATCAAAAGAGGAAATCAAAGCGGGGAGGGTGTCACAAAACAACATCCAGAGCATTCACACAAACGACACTGGAATCAGCTGACGCATTTTCTTTCCGTAGCCCCAATAAAATGGGGTCCGGCGAGTATTTTTCCCCCTCTCGATTCCAGTGAAATATGTCAAAAGTCAATGTCAGGGATTAAAACAAACGAAACAAAACCGCAATAAGGCTGCAGATTAAACCAAAGAGCTCTAAGGACTGTGGAACTGACTATCCGTTTCTGCCCTTACCATCTCGTTTTGGAGCGCACGGTTTATTCGATTTGCTCATTCATTCCGCGATGCCGATGGTTTGGACAGGATAGCTCTTCAATCGCCTCAATTACTATTATTATTATTATTATTTTTACAAAAGGTAAATGAGGGGAGGGGTGGACAGCGCTGGAGGAGAGAAGAAGACCCAGAAGGACACGGTGGGAACGAGGCGAAGGTTTCCTCTTCTTCAAAGCAAACCAGGAAAAAGGCCGCGCATCCTCCTTTATTTTTGGAAGAGGGCTTTCTGCAAGGCGAGAGGGGTGGGATGGAAGAGCTTCTCTTTCTATATTTATACATTCCAGTGAAGCCCGAAAGTGCTCCATCCGCTACCTCGAGTCCTTGTTACATTTCAGAGCAGAATCCTGAGCAGAGCTTGGAAGCGCTTAAAACAATAAACTGACCATTACATCTTCAGGTGGAGTGAAGCTAAGCAAAAAGAGAGAGAGAGAGAATGTTTTTAAAGGTGATTTTTTTTTAAGCAAAAAAGAAAAAAAAAGCAAAACCCCTTTTTGATTTCAAGCAAATAAACTCCCACAATATGGATCAGGGGCTGAGGAAGGGGTGGGGGAGGGGCCGAGATATTGCAATAATTTGTTCACATTTTTTAAAAAAATGTAGATTGGGGTTGCTATTTAATGCATCTTTGACAGGAAAGGAAGGAAGGAGGGAGGGGAGGGAGGGAGGATGAAAAAGGGTGCCTTACAAATATACATGCTGTTGGAAGATGTAGGCTGGGTTTCTTTCCTCTCTCTCTCTCTCTCTCTCTCTCTTTTTAATTTTCTTGCTTTTACTCCAAACAAAGATCCGCTGAAGCCTGCGCGCGATCAATCTTCCCGGGCCAACCGCTTTGACAGCTTCTGGCCTTTAAGAACACATTTGAAGCTTCTTGCTCTTTCCCAGATCAAATGTGGCTGAGAAAAGAAGGGGGGAAAGAGAGAGAGAGCAAGAAACGCGAGTAAACAAGGAAAAAGAGGACGGCGAGGCTGTTTCTGCTCCCTAAATGGATTTTATTTTCCTGTATTAAGGGTGGGGATCTTGCTCTTTTTCGCATTACCCTGAAAGACAGCCCCGATCCTGGGGTTTTGTTTGTTTGTTTTTTAAATCTTTACTCCCCCCCCCTTATAGAATATAGGTGCTAGAAGTGAAATGGGTGGGAGGGTTTGTTCGAGGACCCGCTAGGAGGAAAGGCGAACGTGGGAGAAGGCTGGGGCAGTTGGGTCCAGGAAGGCTTTGTGAGTCAAATCGGCGTGGGAGGGTTAGGGCCAGCATTTTGGGGTGGGCAGCCTAATAGAAAAAACACCTGGAACAAAGAGGCTGCCCAAAAACAAAAAAACCCCCATGCCCTCCACTCAAAACCCTCTGCAAAACCAAAACCCAAATTTTTGTTTCTCTAAATGAAATCCGAACAGTATGTGATACAGTCGAGGGAGCGCAGGGAGAAAATTTAGGCGACCCCTTTCCTGTAAAAAAAAATAAATAAATTCACGAGGAGAAAATATATGCTTTTTGACTTCCCCTTCCCAGAAAATTGTCTTAAAAGGTTGGTTTTCAATAGCCAAACAGTCAGCTAGCTATTCGCCACTGATATAAGGCATCATCTCTCAAATTAATTTTGAACAGGAGAATATCCACCACGATCCATTTTCGCTTCATCTTCCTCCAAATGCTGCATTCCGGAGCTCCAATTTGGGGATTTTTTTCCCCATTATAAGACTCTTTAAAATCAGATTAATAAGTTTTAAAAGGCTGGGTGCAGCCTTTCTGCAGTCTGGAGCGCGTCGCTGTAAGTATATATGGGACTTGCCTAACTCAAGCTATAATAAGGTTTGTATGGATGGCAAAATAATAATACAGAGTTACGTTTCTTTGCATTGTAGTTAGCTACGCCTTGTGTTTATTTATTTTTTTTATATTGGGGTAGCAATATTATTGGGACAAGAAATCAGGAAGCTTCTTAAGACTGTGAAAAAGAGAAGAGATGAATAATATTTCTACCAAGGTGACCAACATGGCGACAATCTCTTTCAGATTGAAATAACAGATGCTGAGTGTGGAATCGTTCCCCTCTAAATGCACTATTGTGTATACTGGTGTTTTTAGAATCCTAAACCCAATTGCTACAACAAATAAGCCCCACAGCTTTAAATTATCTGTTTACTGTTTGGATTTATTATAACTCGTTTATTAGCGCAGATCCATGCATGAGGGTCTTCGAGACCAATTTGCTATGGATATATCAAAAGGTATTTCGGAAAGAAATGATTTCATTTATTTTATTTCCCCTCCCCCTCCCCCAATAGAAGATTTACATTCGATTGCCTCACCTCGCCCACCCAATCTAGAAAAGACGGGGGTGGGGGTGCAGGATGGGAAAGGACGCTCGATTAACAAGTCGTGCAAAGATTATTAAAGCCCTTCAATTTCTAAGACCGCAGATGAGCAGATCAGTTCGTGGAGAAGACCATAAGGAACAAACTCTCTCTTTCAACCCCGGGGATGGGCCAGATCGCTTGGCAAACAGGCCTGATTTATTATTGCTGAATCTGTCCCTTCATTATTAGGGTGATGAATTGTATTTTGCCTGTAAACAAATGTGCTTTTGAATTCGTGCCATATCAAACATGAGTCTAACTACATGAGTCTTCGTTTTTTTAGCCTTAAGTTTATTCAATTTCGCCTCTCTTTCTTCCCTCCAAATCCCCACCCCTTCCTTTTCCTTTTTTAAAAAATATTTCCCCCATCACTCAGCAGAAACAGTCGCTGAATTGTCCGTTTTGGTTCCCGAGAGGAGCTTATAAGTGTGGGAGTAGCGAGCTGCCGATCGGCTCAAAGGTCCCCAGTGCGGAGGCGAGGAGAGCCTTTTCTCCCATTAGGAACGGCTGGCTTCCTCCAGCAGAGAGTGGACCCAATATGGCGAGAGGGAGAACAGCCTGCAAGCGGGACCCAGCTCATCCTGCGGCCTCAGGAGAAGATTCCCTTCTGCAGAGGCGACGCAGCCACCTGAGCTTGATTTACAGCATATCGCTCCAGACATGAGGGACACAGTTTCTCTTCCCCACCTCCACCCCTTCCTCCGCTTCCCTTCGACCACAATGAATGCAACAAAAAACGAGCAAGCTGCCACAGCTACCTATGGGCTGCGTTTATGAAAAACGTCTGGAGAACTGCAGTCCTCGAGCTATGGTCGGAAAGGGCGGATCTTTTTCCATCTTGGATATTTTCAATGCTCCCGTTCTCCCCACTGTTGTTGTTTTTTGAGGAGTGGGGAGTGGAGACAAAAATGTGTGAACCTTCTAAGCTTTGAACGCTCAGAGAAACAGAGGAGACCTGAAGGTTGGATATTGGAGATTTATGTATTTAAAAGCTCCAAGGACGTCAGTCCTTGTTCTCTTTCTCTCTCGCTTTTTTCCCTTTCTAAAATCAAATGATCATATCTTAAGTCTGTATTATTCAGAATAAAAACTTTATTTTTTTTTCCAGAATGTGAGCAGCAAGGAATGTATAACTTTCAAAACAAAATCTAGCTTTGTGTTGTTCTCGTTCAGGTTTACACATTTCCCTTTAGTTCGATGTTAACAGGCACCCGCTTCTGTTCCTGTGGTGGCCTGCTGTTTATTTTCCAGATTTTATTGCATTTTTTTTCCTTCTTCTTTTTAAATAAAGGAGTTTAAGTTCCCCCCTTCCAAATGATATTTCCTATGTATGTCATTTAACATACAGCCAGGTAAATATCTCCTGAATATTCAGGGTACAGAAGTTTTATTTTTTTTTAATATATTTATATATATAAATATGAACAGATGGGGATAAATAAAAAAATTTAAACACTTAGATTATTCAAAGTTTGCAAAAAAATATAAATAAATCTGAAAGTTCACCAGCATACACACGTTGAAAGACGTACACGTATTAATCAGTTCGCTCAGGGAGCCCCTGTTCAAGCGCCTTTTTATTTCTTTCTCGCTATTTAAAAGAAGTGCAATTAAAATAAAAATGCTTCCCCGGTTGGGATCGATTCTGTACGAACAAATTCACATTTAAGAACCATCTGTATAGAAAATTTGTTCATATACCCTGTTTTGATAAAAGTGTTGAAGTTAAGAGTAGAAAGCCTATGTATACTCTCAAAGGGAGAACACAAGGCAAAGAGTTCAAGGAGATAAATATCCACTATTGAAACTAGGGAGCAATTCAAGCAACAGATATTGCTACGTCACATAAACTAGAAAATGCTTTTTTTTTTTACCAAAAGAAAAGAAAACAGAAGCAAAACAGAAAGGGCAGGGGGAGGAATTTAAAGTATTTTTCTTTTCTTTTCCTTCTTTTTCCCTTTTTCTTTTTTTTAAAAAAGGCTGGGGGACTTTTATGATCCACTAAGTAACTGATGGTATATTACAGATGGGTCAGTTTGGGCGCTTCCTGAATTCTTCCCTGAGAAGGATGGTGAGAAGTAAGGTCTGTATATGTTGGGTGTGGGTCACACGGTCCATGGTGATGATTGTTGCCCATTGGCCCACTGTAGTCCATGTTGGCAGAGGAAGGATGAGGGAGGTGAGTCAGACCAAAGATGGAAGGCCCAGAATTTGCCATGGTGTCCACATAATTGCCCCCAACATAGACGGGGCTTCCCTGTATATGTGGATTGCCATAGCCATTCCCTTGAAGAGGATGAGGGTCATATTCAGGAGTCACTGCTGCAGTTCCGGTATATCTCTTTTGTGGAGGCGGGCAGTTATTGAGAGGAGCCGGATATGACGTAGGGATGCCATAGGCGTTCTGATGAGGCTTGCTGAAGGATGGCGGTGACTGGGGTTCATATGGAACACTGTTTACTAGGGAATGCATAGAGTTCAGGTATCCTCCAGCAGCCGGAGGGACAGGACTTCTGCTGGGGGACTGTCCTCCCGAAGAGGTCATCATGCCTTTGCCCTTCTGATCCTTTTTGTATTTCATCCTGCGGTTTTGGAACCATATTTTGATCTGTCTTTCTGTGAGGTTGAGCAAGTTAGCCATCTCTACCCTTCTTGGCCTGCAAAGGTATCTATTGAAGTGAAACTCCTTTTCCAGTTCTACCAGCTGGGCACTTGTGTAAGCCGTGCGGGCTCTTTTAGAGGAAGCTTGCCCTGGGGGGCTTTTATCACCAGCACAACTCTCACCTATGCAAATCATACAAAGAACAAAGTGAGCATCGGGGCACCTGAACACACAACAACCAGTAATCATCAATCAGCCTTGCCTGGGCTAGTACATTGCAGGGCCTAGTGCAGGGGTCAGCAACCTTTTTCAGCCGTGGGCCGGTCCACCATCTCTCAGACCATGTGGTGGGCCAGACTATGTTTTGGGGGGGAAATGAACGAATTCCTATGCCCCACAAATAACCCAGAGATGCATTTTAAATAAAAGGACACCTTCTACTCATGTAAAAACACACTGATTCCCCAACCGTCCGCAGGCCAGATTGAGAAGGCAATTGGGCCGCATCCAGCCCACGGGCCTTAGGTTGCCTACCCCTAGCCTAGTGGTAGCATTGGCTCTTTCACACATGAGGTTGTCTGTTGTGACCAAAGATATGCTCAAGTGACAGTCATTTACTGCACCAAGATATGCAAATTGCCTGTATCTCTGTAGGATCAGAGATGCGGTCTATGAAAACCACTAGAAATGCGTCTGACCAGAAACCATGCTTTCATGGGAAAGATAAACACCACGGCAAATAAAGGTATGGATTTTGGGGTTACATGTTGTCAGCTCCCAAACCGCTAAAACAAAAGTTGTTTGCTATATGAATTGGATTACTCCCAAGTAATTGAATGAAAGTCCAATTGAAGTGGTAGGTTGAATTATTTCTTTCATATGGAACTTTAGAGAAGAGAAAACTTGACTCTTTTAGAATCAACCGCAAAAGTCCCATTGACTTTGGTGGGGTCAGGATAATGCGGCTGACATTCAGAGAGGTCCAGAGAACTTCAAAAGGTATATTCCATTAAGTATAACAAGATAGGTATCTATGTCAATATGCCGAGAATCAGAATACAAAAAGCCAAAGACAAACATCCATACTCCATCCACTTCCTTCCCCAAATATAAAACCAGCTTGGCTGCCAGCTCCACACACCAGTGAAGAATTACTTGGCTAAAAGCCAGCTTGGACACACTCAAGTGAATGGAATGGATAGGAACACAGGGCCAGCTCTGTGACTGGGAAGGACAAAGAGGCCTGCTGTAGGCAGTGATTTTAGGGTACCATTAAAGGGCAGCAAAATGGTTAATTGTTCAATTCATTGTGCTGGCTTTTTTTGCCACCATGGTGGGGTGGGAGTGGGGACACTTGGACATTTTCCAAAACGTATTCAGCTTTCGCTGAGTGCACAACCCAAATAAGTGAAATATTTCTGAAGTCACATCAAACTCCATGAGATTTTGGCTTGAATTCTATACCTTCTAAGCCGGGAAAAGTCCCCATTGAACTCAGTGGGATTCCTTCTGGGTAGATAGGTATAGGAACAAACTGTTAAGCAGAGTTCCTAAGCCTATTTAGAAGCCTTACAGAATTCCAGGAACTTGCTTCCAAGTTTAGTATCAAGCCTACATTACATTCAGTTCTGTGGGACTGTCCTTCCAACAGTTGCACCTAGTGAGATATGTCTGCGGTTCTCTGCATATTTACTAATAAGCAAGGCCTATTAAACAGAGCAGAGTTTACTTCCAGGTTGACATGTTTAGAATTAGGCTGCCACCCTTAGTACTTTGACTGCCCGGGGTTTATGGATCAGAGCCAGGGTCCTAGATGATATCATATGCATGTAGATAAATAGACAGTTTAAACCACAGTACATATCAAATAATCAGGCTTGTCAGTGTTGATACACCACTGCAACAGTATTAGAAAAGCATCGAAGAAAACATTTGCAAAAATTTTAGAATCTATTTTCACAGCACAAGATAAATGGAGGAAGTAAGTGGTAAACAGGAGCCAAATGCCTGGGGAGACTGACGATAATACTTTTCTCATCGATTTGGGTTTACTTATGTAATAGCACTGTTGATAAACACTATAATCCACCCATAATGCATTTATGGACCTGCCTGCAAAGTGCTAAAGAAACCTAAGCTTTGTTTACCGCGCTTGTAAGGTTGCCAGTCTGTGCGCTAAAATCAAAAGAGGTTATGAATATCAAACAAAGCATTGATCTTGACTGCAGATAATGATGAGCTATTTTATTCTCATTACACTTCAGCAGGGATAGGTCACTGTCTTGTGACTGTAGCACTGTGCCAAAAAAGGAGAGAGAGAGAGAGAGAGAGAGAGAGAGAGAGAGAGAGAGAGAGAGAGAGAGAGAGAAGCACACAGGTCTTGCCACTGGTTGAAGATAGGCCTGGACCTTTGTATCTGGACATGATTTAATAGAAGCAGAAAGAAGGAGGGGGCGGGTTGTCTATGGAATGTTGAGGACTCAGAGGTGCCTGTTACAGTCATCTCAAAGTCTGCAAAGAGAAGAGCTTGGAAGCTAAGCAACTTCACATTCTTTTGCAAGAGTTTAACAGAGGTCATGCAAAGCAACCAAACTTCAGGCGTCCTCCTCTTTCTGGAGATCAGCCTCTTTGGATGTGTGTGTGTGTGCACGCACGCACGCACGCGCACGCACATACACACACCCCTACCTAAATATGTGCACATGTAGCTGTATGTATGTATGCATTTGCATATCTATCTTTTGCTGTGTGTATGTGTAATAGATATAGATATAGATATATAGATATATATCTATATAGATATATATCTATATAGATATATAGATATAGATATAGATGATATAGATATAGATATAGATATAGATATAGATATAGATATAGATATAGATATAGATATAGATATAGATGATATAGATATAGATATCTGTGTGTAGCTATAGATAAGGCCATTTTTCTGATCTCAAGCCATTGTGTGTGTTTCCAATTTCCAAGTGAAATAGCTGGGGAGTGGGGAATCTAAACCATTCCTGCAAGACTAATGAAACACCTAGAAGTCAAGGATCTGAATAACTTCTGCTTAACGGCTTGGTGGATGGGGCTGCCTGTAAGTACATCCGCTCGGTTAATCTCTACTAGCCCTCCTCCTTTTGCCATACCTGAACTGGAGCCGCTGTTTTTCTGCTTGGTGTTTTGTCGAGACTCTTTCATCCAGGGGAATATTTGCTTGGACATGGTGGGCGAGTTCAAGATGGAGCTCTTGGTGGCGCTAGGCGGGGCGGAATTAGTGGTGGCATTCTGAGGTGGTGACACAGAGGGGGGTGGAGGTGGTGGTGCTTGCTGGGGGCTGGAGGCTGCTGCTGAGGCTGCTCTGAAAGGACCGGGGGCTGGAGAGACTGGCTGGTGATGGTCCTCATACAACTCTCATTGATTTCATTGGCCTTGTGGTGGGACACGGTGGTGCTGCCGCCGCCGCCGCCGCCTCCGGGGGACTGTAAAGAGCAGGCCGGTCGATGGTACTCCGTTTCCACCAGCGAGGAAGAAGGAGGCGGAGGAGGATATTGCTGCTGACTAGCATTGTAAGCGAAACCATTTGCTCCTTGGTAAGGATAGCCGCCATAGATCGCAGAGCTGTCGTAGTAGGTCGCTTTTTGCATTTCGTTGTTTCCCAATATTTATTTCACAAACTGACAGGGTCTTGACACCCTTAAAGAATAACATTGGCACCCCTCTGTCACGTGACGTTTTTCCTCCAATGGCCCGTCCTGGTAGACCTAGGGTGTAGGGAAAGCACAGGAGAGTGAAGAAATAGTACAAATCCATCTTACTTTCAATAGCTAAGTGACATGAAAGCCATAACAGAAAAAGTGGTCAGCAATATTTAGCAGCATGACTTGGCCTGGAGGGCGAAGAGAATTTCGATAGTGGCTGGGATTTACTAGGCAGCCGGTACTGTGTGCTTTACTGCTCCGGGAGAGTGTAGTTTTCTAGGATTTTCATATCTATATTTGTGTGTGTGTGTGTGTGTGTGTGTGTGTACACACACACACACACACAGAGAGAGAGAGAGAGAGAGAGAGAGAGAGAGACATGAAAATCTACACACACACACACACACACACACACCCTTACTCTAAGAACCAATTTATCAATTCTCAGGAAAGGGACTTCGTAGGTTATTTAAAGGGAGAGTCTCTAGATAAGAACGACCAGAGTAAACTTGTGGTCACCGTGGGAAAGTGATATTTTCTCCCCGCCCCACCCCCAAAATAATGAGCAAATCCGTAGCTCTTTCCTCTTTAGACTATTTTTTTTTGCTCCCCCTCCTTTTTTATTATTAAGCAAACATCATTTTGAATTGCATTTTTTTAAAGGAAAAAAGAAAAGGGAAAGCTAGAAGACCCATAAATAACTGTATCGCATTCCCCGTGAAGGGCTACTCAACGTTCTGGCACTCGAGGGATTCGAACACATGAAGTGTTTGCTAGGAAACGTTTGACAAATGCAACCCATAATGGCCCTCGTGTGATGAAACAGCACAGCGACGAGGGAAACCCTTCTCCTTCGCAGTTTAATAACCAGCCAACTTCCTGCGCATAAATTAGCTTTAACTGCTGCGCCTTTAGACAGAGACACAAATCTGGCCTCCAGGATCAAACAGCCTCAACATGTAACCAAACATAATAATCCGAGGCGGCCTTTCAGCTAGACCTGCTTTTGTGGGAAGTTTCCTTCGCACCCTCGGGCCTATACTGTATATTATTTCTGTCCATTGCGTTCCGCGGCAACAGCTAATAACTATTTCGGGGGTATATTAGGCACATATGAACTTTTAAAATATTATCATTCAGTATCTTCACTTCCCCCTCCCCCAAACCCCTTCATGTAATATACCCAAATTCTACCTGCTCAAACATGATGGATTGGGGGAAAGACACACACCAGGAACCTGAAAAACCAGCGTTCATCTCCATGACCACGGATTGAACTTTCCTACCAACTTAACGATAATAGGCTCTGTCTTTGGAACTGCTATGTAATTTGATGTATGAGGGTCATTTGGCTGGGAAAAGGAGAATGGACACACAAAACCGCAGAAGGATCCTACAACCCAGGCGAATCTTTTTCTGTTCACTCCACAATGTTTACCTGCATGAGTACAACCGAGGTTGGAGTCGGGCTTCCATTCCCAGGAATTTTATCTGCCATCTAAGAACTTTATTTTTTTACAGGCCGGCCAAACCCCGATATCAAAACCCATCTATCCGCACCTTAATAGTTTCCCTCTCCCCATCTTCTTACAAAACACCCTCGGTTCCCTCTTCTCCGCCAAGATGGTCTTGTGCCAAGGCTTATATTCTTGAAGAAAGCATTACACAGCACCCTAGGCACCCACTCAAATTCATTACATGTGTTAGCATTTCAGTCCACACTCGTTTCCTTAGAAAACAAGGCACATTGTAGAGACAAACTAATTTAATAAACCCCTTACAGATGGCAGCTGCCTTTTGAGTCTTATTATTATTTAAACAGTAATCAAGTCCTTTCTTAACCCGGCGGTTAAGAGCTAAAAATGTAGGCAATTAACTTTCTTCGGCTGCAGTTTAGAAACTGTAGCCCCGGAACACAATCCAGCCATAAACTGATTTCCTCCAGTTTGAGAGTGAATCGACTTAAACCTAAAATACCTAACAAACAGAAACAAAAAGCCTTGATTGTAGATCCTACTGTTGCTATCTGTCTTTTAATCATTCTGCTAATTTCCGGGCTTCCTTTGCAGAGGCCTGTTATCTTCTGTGAACCACAAATTAGGTGGTGGGGTCTGTTATGATCGTGGTTCCCGTTTGATCAAATTCATAATATTTCCACGCTGTCCCAGGCATTTAAGTTTTGTTCTTGTAAGCTTTGGCAGAGAGGCGAGAACCAGCTCAGGTGGAGGATTGTGCCGAAGAGAGTGTGAAGTGAGAGGGATAAGGCAATTCTCATCCTAAGGTCAGCAGCCCACTCCGAGCAATGGTAAACCTAAGTATTCTCAAACAATGAAAGGAGCGGTGCTAATAAACAACTCCGGTTGAAATCATGGGCAAAACTTCCACGAAAGGGCATGACTCTGGATCACATCTTATACTGTATTATCAATTCAAAGTAAAATGCACCCTTCATATCATTTGCCTATTGCTGCTGATGATGCACAGATGATAGACAAAAGGAAACTGGCGGGGAGGAACAGGTTACAAGCAAAATTAGGCCGCGCAGAAGTTTGTCACGCAACCCAGTGACTTGGCCAGCAGACTTCATAAAAACTTGATTGCTTATCATGGGATCATACGCAGCCCAGTCTTACATAAGCTTACTCCAAAGTAAGTTCCATGGAGTTTACTCTCGCTGCCCTATAGGGCGACCCAATGTCTATTTAACCGGGAAGTAAGTCCCACTCTATTCGGTTGGACTCCCTTCCCAGGAAGAAATGTGCGCAGGATTGTACTATCTCAGGATCCGAAAGTGTCCCAAGGGGTGAGCAAGAAGACTAGACCGGCCCTTGCAAATAAAATATCCTCATCAATTAGGACTTTCCTAGCTCCTTAGAAACACTAGGAAGCTTTGGTGGAAACTTTTGCTTGGTTAGGGAAGTCTCCCTATTGCTTCTCCCACCTCACACTCAGTTTTTTTAAAAAACAACAACAAAAAACCCTCCTCCCTTCCATGCCTCGATCCGCAGCTCAGAAAAAGGCGGGTTGCCTGGACATGAGCCGATACAGTCCTGGTTGGAAAACAGGGAGACTGAACTGGCCTAAAAGTTTCAATCCACCTCAACTGGCTCGTGGAGCGAGCTGCGGCGACCAATCTCGAGCTGTTTCTTTCTCGCGCTCGCGTCTTTTCCCTTCACCCTGCTCAATCGAGGCGGGCACCCCCTCTCACCCACCTTCCCTTCGCCCCAAGATTTCCTGCCAGATAAAGGGAAAGTGGAGGGGAGGGGGTGGGCAAGTGGCCTGAACTCGAAGCACCAGGGTCTATCCGTCACTGCCTGGAAGGAAGCTCCAGCCTGTGAACTCTTCTTGAACCGAGATTTAAGTCTCTGGTCATAAATCACCAGGACATAAACTCCGCCATTCACCACTGATAGCAGCGTATTTGTGGCCTGCTTACCTTAACTTCTGACGACTGAGGCGGAAGCCCGCATTTTGCTCTTTGGAGGCTCGGCGACAGTCGCTCCCCGCCAGCCCTGGGAGCACGACTCTTCTCCTCAATCCACTGCCCCCCCCACTCCACCTCGCGAGTCCCCCTCCCCAAGCAAGTCCCCTCAGCTTCTCCGGGATGGGTCCCAGCTCAACTCATCTCCACCAGGACGAGCCCACGAGTACAGATGGGAGCAGCCCTGCCTTGATCAGGAAGAGGGCACGCGCGGAAGGGGATCTTTCTCCAGCTCGCCTCTGACGGAGAGCCACCCGCCCCTCCTCGCCCCGCGCGAGCCTTTACTTCGCTCCAGCCCCTACCTCCACCTCCCCACGCTCCTCGGGGCCTGGTCGCGATCGAGAGCCTCCCCAGGCTACGGGAGCCCGGCTTCTCCCACCTTGACCAGATTTTCTACAGGGGGGAAAAAAGCAGCAGAGATGTTTCTTCTGAAATCTTTGTGCGCCCAAGGGGGCGTTTGTTTGAAGGGGGGGTAAGGCAGCTGCCTCGGGAAGTCCGGGGCAGGCAGGCGAGCAGGCGAGCAGAGTGGGGGGTGGGGAGCGGGAAGGGAGGGAGGGCGAAGAATGAGGGAGGGAGGGAAGCGCCGGGGCGGCACTGAAGGCCAGGGAAATTATGCAAATGAAGACAAAGGATGCTCACAAAGGGGTCACCCTCCCTAGACCGGATTGTTGATATATATGTGTGTGCGCGCGTATTTCCACGTTATATGAAGTTGCTTATGGTAGATATGGACTCTTTTGGACGTGCAGAAGGGGTCGAAACCTGGAACTCCTGCAAGGCTCGGATGCTCCCCATTGTAATAAACCAGGAGCCCTCTGGTCTGTCTACCACCCAGGCCAATCTAGACAGCGTTTCAAAGGAACGATTAAAGTAATGACATTTCGGGATGATGAACGGGCGCGCTCACCCGAGATAGGCAACCGCAGCCAGATGCCCATGTAAAGACGCATCTACACACACACATGCCCTTCCCCTAGGCTTACATTAACGCGCGCAACTGGATGCGGGATACCCACGCGACCGTGGTACGCAAACAAGCCGAGGGGCGATTTCTTTTTTGCCACTGAATCCCGCGCAAATGGGCTGTCACTCCCATAAAGACTCCGTTCCCAGTTAGAACCGAATTGCTGGCATGTTTGTCTCTGTTCAGATCAATGGAACTGAGACAGGCAAACCTACTCCTAAAGGGTGCTTAGGTGAAAGCCGATCGAATTGAAATCGACGGGGTTTGCTGGCGAGCAAACATCGTTAGGATCGAATGGGGAACCTGCGCATCCTTCCCCGGCAGAAACAAATGGGACTCGGGTTCTAAATAATTCGGAGGGGCTCCTAGACTTTCTGAAGCCTAGGTGTGCCTGGAGGACCTCTGTAAATGCGTTCAGAGAGGCTAGCATGAAAGTCTTTTCATCCATAAAGACACACCTCTCCGTGTGTATTTATAAAAATACGCACACAGACATATGTAATGTTGTGGTTGCATGCTGATGGGCGTGGATGTTTGGTTCTGTGAACTTCAGGTCTCTTCCGCCGCCCCCCTCTTAGTCTTTGTCCTAGTCTCCCTTCTCCTAACCATTTCTTTATTCCATTCCAACCACCAAACCAAATGTCGCGAGGTTTAGCCGGCAGAATGCTTCTGGGTTCCAAAAACAAAACAAAAAAACAAAACCAAGCTGGACCTACGGAGAGCGTCAAGGCTCTTCTAAGGCAACACAAAGGAGCCGCTCGGCGCTTCAGACCTTCCGCGGTGCACTCGGATAAAGCCTAGGTGTGAATCTGACATGCCTTCGATAAAACCCAAGGTGCGAGAAATACAAAGGTCTCCCTTTAAACCGCAATGTCACCTTAAAGCAGAAACAAAGCAAAAGGAGGGGAAGAAAGGGGATATTTAAACACATGCACACACAAGGACTCTAAGGCCAGGGTGGCCTCTTACGCATACCAATGGTTTTTGTCATTTATGGCTAGGCAAGATTTATGACTCCGTGCGCCCAAGCTGTAAACAGAGCTTCACAACAGAAAACACTTGCTCCTCGTAGCAGATCGCGGCGGCTCCCAACTTGAAAGGGGAAAGCTGAGCGACGTAGGAGGGGGCCCCCAAAAAATTCACTGGTAGGCAGTTTTTTGCTACAAACAACCCCTTGAAAGTTGCGCTGGAAGAGAAAACGCCTCTTTTGGTCAATAATCAACCTCGTACTTTTCTTCTGAAAACTGCTGATGCTACCACTTTTCCTTTTTTGTTTTAAGCCACCAAAAAAAGGAGAGCAAGATGCCGGCTAAGAAACTGGGGGAGGATTTGCGTGGGGAGCAAGGCGGGTGGCAGAGAGAGAACCCTTCTCCGGAACAAATTACAGAAGACGGTCCGGGTATCCACCGCGCGCGCACCCCACTTGCCACAAAGGCAGTCTTGGGATTCCCAGCAGCGATGGCGAGGTGGGAGCGCTGTGTCACACTTCGGAATTACTTTAGGATAATTTTGTGGCGAGCAATGTTCTGATGCAGAGATAACATATTTCACCTTAGAGGTAAATCAGATAAAGGATCTGTGGTTGGAAGCGGGGGTGGATTTCTAAGCCCTGAATATTTAAATTAAATAGGATATTTAATTTAATAAGTGAAATTACCCCCCACCCCGAATTCTGTTGTAGGCTTTGTATCTTTTCTCTATCCAACCTGATCATTTAAAAATAAATAAATCTTAATTTTACTTTATATAGCTGCACTTGCCTAATACTCCCCCTTCTAAGAAGCCACGATGTTTGGATTTATGCCATTGGGAGTCAAGCGGCATAAATATGTTTCCAGTTAACTGGATTATACTGGGGAATAAATGAATATCTCAGGGTGCCCCTCCCTCCCCTGAAAATCCTTTCTGCAACCTGGGGGTATGCTGCTCACCGGAAAAACAAACAAACCAACAAACAGATACTACACTACATTTTGAACCAGGAGCTGAAGTTTGTAAACGAACGTTTTCTCTTCTCTGGGTAGAAAATCCAGGGGAGTTTCGTCGATCATTTCGGCAAATAGCCCAAAGATTTCGGAATGCATTGTGAAAGAAAATATAAATATATATATATATTTCCTGGGAAGAGAAAATTATTCAGAACTCCGGAATAACTATACTTCAAGAAGGCACCGAGAAGAACTACTCAACTGATTTAATTGCAGGGAGAGAGGCTTGTTTGGTACAGAATCTTGATAAAATGCAAATCTGAGACGCTTAATACGCCGAACCTCAGCTTGGTTACTTGGAAGTAAGTACCATTGGCTTTTTATGGCATTTGCTTCCCGGTAAGGGTGTTTAGGATCTGAATCCGAGAAGTTTATCGCTTCCAACATTAGACAGAAGAAGCCTCTTTGGTCTCTTATCACTGTTTATCTTATCAAACCCCACATAACCGCTATTGACACTTCGTTTTGTATTTACTCAGCATATATATATATATATATATATATATATATATATATACACACTGAGGATTTTTACCGGAATCTTTATTATTGTTATTATTATTATTATTATTTACTTACTTTCCAACACTTGTGCACGAAAGCCCTTTTTCATATCAGGTTCAGCACTCCTATTATTTATGACTCTTTTAACTGGGTCAAAATGCACCAGAACTAGGTCATAAATCATAAGAAACCGTGACAAAGCAATTGAGCCACAATTAAAACTTACATTTTATTTATATGTTTTCCCAAAGAGGTTTCGGCCTATTTGAAATCTAATTCCCCTCCCCCCCTCCCCACAAAGAAAAAATAAAGTTCCCCCACCTCTTTCATATCTATCTGAAAGAGTGTATAGAAGTGCATACGTGTAAAGAGATGCCTGGACAATTTGGATCCGCTTGCTTTTCATTTATTAATTTAGGATCTGGTCGGTGAACAGATCAGGGAAGGGGGGCGGGAATACACAATATCCGCATGACACATTCTAGAATTAAACAACCATCATGTTTTAGATAAGGGAGTTTTATTTATAATAGAAGAAGCTTTTGCTCCTTAACCCCCCAATTCTAAAATCTAACCCTGAATTGAATAATTGCAACGGGGCATTAAGAAGGGAGAGGGAGGAGGCGCAGCAGCGTGTAGGCGAGCGCTCTGCCCCTAGCCCACTGGTAACATAAATCAAAAGTCAGCACTCTGACCTTTAGCAATGCTGGGACTCAGTGGTGGATGTAATTTTATATAACATTTGTCCCCTTGTATAACACAAGCAGTGCTTTCATTCCCCCTCCCCCTTATTTGCGGTGCATCTCCCTCCATAAAACTGAATGAATAGCTGGTTAAGACTTGGTGAGAGGTAAAGGAAATCTAACCGCGAATGTAAAGCTTTTGGAGAGAAAAATAGGTTCAAGCGCCCTCTTTTCCTTTCCAGATCCTTGCTCAATTCAACCACAGCTCCCCCCCCCTCCCCGCTCCAATATTCCCATTGATGATTATGGGGTATGGATGGATGCTTTTATTCCATTCTCACAGAGAGAGAAGACAGGGAAACAGCTTGCAAATTGAGCAGGGAGAGCAGGAAAACCGCCTGGTTTCTTTCTCCTGGAATGGTGAAGATCCCACCAGTCGCGCGTTCAGTGGGCCACCAGTCAACAAAATACCAGTAAGCGGCATAAATAAAATGGTAGCAGAATTGCATACTCATCGATTTGAAGGTCCAGAATGAGAGAGAGAGAGAGAGAGAGAGAGAGAGAGAGAGAGAGAGAGAAAGAAAGAAAGAAAGAAAGAAAGAAAGAAAGAAAGAAAGAAAGAAAGAAAGAAAGAAAGAAAGAAAGATGGCTCGGATCACGGTCGCGTGACGCTTCCCAAAACACACTTAAATCAGCATCAGAGGTATATAATAAACAGGACAAGCTAAAGCCTTGACTCTGTCCTCTCCTGCTTCTGTTGGGCGATTTAAATAACAACGGCCACTAAAGCATCCAGACCACAGCAAAAAGCCACAACAAAGCCCAGCCACAAGAACACGCAGAAATCCAAAACCTAGGGGGGGGGGCAAATATTCTCTGATCTGTTTGTTGCAAAGCTCTCTCTCTCGCCCCCCTTCCACAAGCCCAGGGAAACAAAGGGGGAAACGAGGCTTGCCTGGTGTCCATATACACCCTTAAGCTTTTTCTCCTGACCTTTGCCTCGCCCAGCCATAAGTCACCCACCGTAAAGGAACAATCGGCGGAAATACCTTAAAATAAAATCCATCCTCTCTTTTTTTTTAAACGAAGCATCGCGTCCTAAGAGTCCGGCGATAACCTTTCCATAAGGACCGAGCGCCGTAGCCCAAGTGGAAGCTCTCTCTCCGAGGGTGAGCGGGTGGGTTGGTAGTTTGGGGGGGGGGGAAGCGGCGGTGGCGGGGCGGCGGCGGCGCTGATGGTGGATAATAGAAAGCAGTTCTTGCTCTGAACAGAAACGGAAAAAACGTAATCACGGGCGAAGCCAGTCCGGGTCTCCACTCCAAATGCCACAATAATGCGCTGTATTATGTGCTCACGTGGTCATACGTCAACTTAAATCCTTTTATTTGAAATAGGGAATCACTGAAGGAACAAGGGTTGGAAGCGCAAGCCTCGTCTGTGTGTGTGTGTGTGTGTGTGTGTGTGTGTGTTTCTCCTCCTTTCTTTTCTGCTTCTTCTCTCACCCCTCCTTACGCTTTAGCCAAGAGGGGGGGCACAGATTATCTTTTATTTTTTATCCCACTCCTCCCACGAATATTTTTCTATATACGTTTCAGACGGAAGATAGGAAGAATCAACAATTCCCCCCCCCCTCTCTCATGTGATTACCCATAACTTTTTGAGGCTAACCAACTGGCCTCGTTCTGAAGGAGAAACTCTCCGCTGACCCTTAGAGGGAAAAGGGCAGCGGGCTCCATCCGAGATGAACTTCTGCCACTATTTCCATAAGGAAAAGCCCTTCAGTATTAAAGGGGGGGGGTATCCGCCATCCCACGGGCTCCTCTGTACTTCTATTGAATGGAGCTTGCTGAACACCCACGTTACAGCAGAGCCCTTGTAGGAACCCCAAAGACCCGTAATTACCTGACAAAAGGCACAAGGTTCCTCTGGTATAGAGATGGTGGGCTTCTATACTTGTTAACACCCTAGGAGGACGACGACGAGGAGGAGGAAGGCGTCTGCTGGCTTTGTGGTGGATCTACATTTTGCAAACTCTGTTGGGACCTTCTCTTTCAACCTGCGCTTACGCATTTCCTATGCAAGTACTTGAGTGATGTACAAAATTATAGGGTTCTGGAACGATGAAATATTTAGCGCGGAATAATGATCTAACTGTCCGGAGAGGGAGGGTTTAAAAAAAAAAGAAAAAGAGAAAGCAAGCAAGAAAGTTGGGGGGGGGGAGATCTCACACAGGTCCCTGGAGTGAGCCTCAGAAATGAATTAATCTTTCATTTGCATGCAGATCTAAAAGCTCTCTTTTTCTTTCTGTTCAGTTTCCACAAGCTACATAGTGCTCTAGCAAAGTGACCATGTCTTACAAGGCAAACGTCGTTTCTACCTTAAATGCACTACGGGCCCACTTTGCCGATGGTGGTTCTGAATTTCTTGCCCGGTTTCCTATGTAACATCCCTCTCAGCTGTTCCTCCAACCAACTCCAAAGCAAGTTTCACTGTATTCTATTTCTTTCATCACTTGCATTAGGGCTTGGGGCGGGGAGAGAACCCCATTTACTATGTGTGAGCAGATGAAATGTATCGTCTGCCAGCCTTCTGATCAAATTATGAGCCGTCCTCTTCCTTTGACTGCAACTTAACTTTTAAGAGGTTGGTGGATTTAACCGCACTAGTAACCTTCATCTCCTTCCACAACCGTGTTAAGTGGAAATGCGGGGATTTCTGCGCTCACACAAAAAGCTCCCCTTGTCACCCAGAAGCTCTCTGGGCTCAGAGTTTTCATAAGCTCAGAGTTCTTCTGAAAGCAACTTTCTTTCTTTCTTCCCACTGAACTCAGTGGCAGAATACCCAAAGATATATTACTTCGAAGCTACCTTTATACATTTTCCTTCCCGGAACATAGCCTTTAATGGAACCAAATCACACCGCTTGATAGGACTAGAACCTGAAGAGCTTAGGCCACAAGCAACCTTAAAAAAGAAAGTGAGGGGAGTATTCGAGGGAAACTTGTAGAATAGCCATGGACACGTCCATCACTAATAGTTCCACTGACAAATGCTAAACTTTAAACAGGGAGCACCCTTATCCAAGAGATGGATTCCTAGGCATTTAAACTAAAGTGCCTTCAGCCCAGTCAAAAGAGGCCTTCAGAAGTTCTTCAGCAACAATGCAGCCAAAATTAATGGATAATGGAGCAGATGGGGGAGGGAGCCACAGCGAATCTTCCTGAATCTCGAGTAAAACGTTATCGACTGCTTTGAGTCAGAAGCAGAAAGATGACTTTACCAAATAGAAACTACAAAGCCATAAATCATAACTCTGGGGTGCAGATTCAACTTAACGCCATCTATGAGTACATCCTTTCCCCCTTTCCTTTCCTTATTTTTAAAAAAGGAAAGGGCCCTTTGCTGTGTAGGTCTGTATTAGTTTTAACGATCAAGTTAATGTGAAATCTGCCGTTGAACTATTAACTCCGGTGCGTATTGCATGGATAGTGAATATGTGGGGGTTTTTTTCTCCTAAAGAAAAGTAACTTCTTGGTGATTTATGAGGAGCTAATTCTTCAGGCTGTGCTTTATAGGAGACAAGCTTGCTTCACTGGAGTCCTGGTAACTCTGCTTATTATTTCTCCTTTTTCAAAACAAAAACCCACCAAAAAGCTGACCTGGAATTCATTTGCTTGGGTCGAACTTCAGAGATCTTGAATTTTGAGAAATACAAATGCGAATGGACAGGAAGGCAGCAGCCTCGCCACCCATTTCGCCTTCCTCGCGGAGGTTCTCCGTTGCCTTCATCTGTTACTTCGAGGACTGGGAAATCTGAACGCTTTTGGGAGAGCTAAAAACGCTACATTTCATTTTAGGGAACAGGGCTAGGCTGCCCCGCCTCTTTCTGCACACATAGCAGTGGAATGCATGCGGAAGAAAGAAGGCGCGGAGCAGAGCTGAGGTCGAGATCCAAGACACAATTACTTGGAGGGAGAGAGAGCGCGCGCTGAAATCAATGGACATCGTTTTTCAAATGATTGGTTAGCATCCAAGTGCAACTAAGCTGTAAAGTCTCCACGAATTTGAAAGCTGCAAGGCTTAAGCATATTTACTCAGAGGTAAGTCCTATTGATTTCAGTGGGACTTTCTGCCAAGTAAATATACTGAGCAGAGAATCCTCCGAAGAAAGTGGGACTTCCCTTCCGCTATCTAGGCTTAGATTAAATAAAACGATTTGTGCTTTTTGCTTTAGGTGAATTGAGTTTTGGGCTTAGTTTAAAGTTCCGTTCCGCAATATGCCTCATTCAAAACGAATGCTGATTATTAACGTTAACCTTAAAACGTTGTGTACACGGAGAAGAAACCGAGTAAAACTTCTCTGAATATTTTATGTCACGTTTATGTCTGAAAATGCAAAGCAAGATAATCAGAACTAGGAAATGACGTTCTCATAGAGACTCTGTTATTATGAGAGCCTGGTGTGAGTTTCTTTATGTCACTAGGGTTTGGGGGGTGTTGGGGTTTTTTGGGTCCCCCTTAAATAATTTTATCTTTTTCGTTTAAGTGTTAGGACAGCTGCGCTGCATCACATCTATTATCTTTTAAAGTTTGTCCAAATTTCATGCATCCTTATCAGAGAAATGGGGACGAGTGCAATATATATATATTTAAGCACTGAATACTATTCTTAGAAAAGTCTAGGCTATTTCTGGGAGGATACGGTCAGGCTATATTTCAGACACTTGGAAGTGTTTTGTATTTTAAAGTAATTTGCCCTCCCCCCCCCTTCTTGGAATGTTGATAGTTTTAAATCAACATTTTGTCTTGAAATGGCTCAGGAAGGGCCATTCGCAGCGCCTTTTAGCAGGGAGAATTTCAACAAGCTGCTAAATCAACACAACAAGCCTTTGTAGGCTTGTAATTTATGCCTGCCGTTTAAAAGGTAGTAAACTAAACTAATTGTACTTCAGCCTCATAAAAGCAGGTAATTCTAGCAGGAAACTCAAGCGGCTCTACATATCCCTTGGTCTTCTAACGCTGGTTAATAAAAGGGGGGGGGAATCATATGGTGGCTTTTTAAGCGTTTTCATCGATTTTAAGAACTGAAACGAGAGAAGAGTGCAAGGCACCTCTCTTAGGATTAAGAGCAGTTTTCAATGAATAGATGCCACCAATGAATATATTTCGTTTGCCTTCAGCTGGGTGTAAACGAGGCCACCTAGAGAAAATTTTAAATTTCACTACAACAACAGGGAAAGCAGATGCGATATTACTGATTCCTCGTAGTGGTTGCTAGCAGCCATAGAGAATACTCAGGTATTCTAAGTTGTAAAGGTGACTTTTGTTCTCAGGTTCTAAACAATCTAAAGCCATCCGGAACAGCAAACAACAATCATAAATGCAGAGCTGCTCTTAATCACGAGCCTATCCTGAGAGAGCTGGATTTTATAAGCAAAATGCATTTTCATTAAAGACTTCATTGGCTTCTCTAGCTCTTTCCAGCCCGTGTGCAACCCTCCCTGTTCTGAATGGCTCTCAAAGAATTGCTCTTACTTAGGCTCTATGTATTTCTTTGTTTGACAAGACGTGCATTCACCGACGACGAAAGATGAATTGGCGCAGTGCAGAAAATTCCAACCGATTTAGCTATTTATCAAACCCGAAGCTCACAGTAACCTTTGTAACAAGCGCTAGCAAACCGAATCCTCTTCTCTGCAATATGAAACTATTTTAAACAATTGGACAACAGATTCGTTTCTTTTCTTTTTCCCTCCCTCTTTCCACCCACAGGGCTCTTACCTCCTCGCGTTTCCAACCACCGGGCAGAATTGTTTCCAGATTGTAGGTGTCTTTAAACCGTATTTTCCGGTGCACCGGAGTGCTGTAAATAAAGAACAAGCAATAGCTAAATGAGAGAACTATAGGGGATGAGCATTATTTTCGAGACAAGACGTGGGTCAGCTGCTGAGTTGTTTTAGCAGATCCTCGGTGGGTATATAATCATTAAAAGGACGCTGTTGAGTTGCGTATTTTTTTTTTCTTTTAGAAAAAAACACACGTAAAAATATTGCCTTTTGCAATCGTGTATGAAATTGAAAGATAAGCTTCTTTCTTATGAAGACAACTATTCTCCCTGTGAATATCTTATAATTCCTCTTTTATGAAATGTAAGCTTCATATTCCTCTGGGAAGCCTTTGTTTAGCATCATCAAGTAAGGACATTAAATACAACTGGCCACGTTCATCTCTGTTTAATGGCAGAAGAATGTGACTCTCTCCTTTAAATGCAAGGCACACGTCGGGTCGAAACTAGGCTCACACTTGAATCTGTGGGCCTGATCTGCCGTCCCTGAACTGTCTCCCATTGGCTGCAATTGACTTAAAAATCAGACTAGGGACAATAGCAACAAAAATAGTGTTGAAACAGGGGAAACAGACGTGTATTGTGGGTTTAAATGGCTGTTCTTTGGTCCGTTGGCAGAAAAGTAGCCTGAAGATAAGGATATTGACTTTCTCAAAGCAATAATAATTTTATTTAAATATATTTATTAATCATTTATAGTAACAATGAGATGTTCGCCCCGCTTTCCGCAATCCACTGACAGGCCTCCCCCCCCCTTTAAATGTCCCGCTGGATTCTCCTTCGCCTGGCTAGCAAAAGTGACTGCTAATAATTGCTTAGTGCTGTTTCTTGGAATAATGTCATCGAAGGCTTGAAAAAAAAAGTTTAAAATCTCATCTTGGGAGAACTTGGCTTGATAGAATTTGCTTTTGGTAATTGGATCGTTTGGTAATGACTATTATAATTTTAGATTTGGTGCTAAGCAGGCATCTAGCAGGACAAAAGAAAGGAGAAGCTCTAAATCGCTTACTGGGGGTTTTATTGCACTCCCACATTAGTAAGATGCTTCGATTTCTGGAACTGCCCGTGGATTTTGCCAGACAGCTGCTTCTATACCAAGGATTATTTAAGGGTATAATAATATTTCTCTCGCTCGCTCTCTATCCTACCAGTTCTCTATTCTGGGAAACTCCTTTGGTGTTTAACGTTCAAACTACTTCCTAAACAGCCCATCGCGTGGCAAACTGTAATACAATCGAAAGCAGTAGCATACAGAACCACTTAATGTGCTTACTATTAAATCAGCATCGTGCTATTCAATAGCTTTTGGTGGTATATTTGGGGACGATTAAACTACATGCTATGATATTTTAGAGACCTCCTGGGGTGGGAGGGGGAGGGCTGCTCCTTTGCAGCTTTAAAGTTAGAAAGTAGCAATGGAGCATTTAAGAAAACGCCATGAGTTAAAAGGGGGGGGAACCTTATCACAAAATTCTGCTATTAATTGCGGTGCTTTAAACTGGGTACTAAATCGCTCTGCTTAATGATGAGTCATAGAGAAATGTGTCCATGACTTCTGTTGTCGTCTCCCGCCCCCCTCGCCTGCCTCTATTCCCTTCCTCACAATGCTTGCTGCTGCTGCTGCCGCCGCTGCCGCCGCCGCCTCTCCGGTTTCCCTTCTTGGCCCTGCTCTGGGAGCCGGTGATTTATGAACGCCTGGCAAATTGTGGGGGGAAACACACACAAAAAAGCCAGGACTCCCGCACTGTGGCAACTTTCCACAGTGTGTGAATTAGTACTCGAACGTTATCAAATCGCCTCGCCTCGCTTTAGGTTTAATCACCAAAAAGGCATAATGCGACCACAAGGCAGCTTTGCAACAACGATGGAACATTTCGTAAATCTCCCCGTCGCTTAAGTCGAGGCTCCCCAATCCAAAAGGAAGGCAAGTGCAAACAATGAAAGGCAGTCCAGGCACACGACCGGCCTGCGCATACTTACCGACCTCATCCCCCTTATTGCTGGCTTAAGGAGTTTAAGGAGCCTTGCAAAAGATAAACCAGGTAGGCATGCTTTTTGGGGTTTTTTATTTTTATATATTAAAAAAAAAGAAAGTCAAAGAGGAAGTTCCCTTTCACTTCGGAAAGAATCATTCCTACTAGTGAGAACTGACCGTCACAGATCTATTCGTGAAGATCTGCATTAATTATTTAATGTCACGTGACATCCCATCCTTTCTCTCTCTCTTTCACCCCCAACCCTCCCCTCCCCAACCCGGCCAGATTAAAATTTCAATACCCGAGAAGAACAGACGCAACACCTTTATCTACCCTCGCAGTGCTTCTCTACTGCTTATTTAGGCCTCATCATCTCGCCGGTTTTTGACAGCTTTTCAGTTTCTGGGGAGATCATTTGGGCATTAATAACACGGGGCTTGTCAGGCCAAGGCAGAATGAAGCGGCCGAGCCTCCGAATCAGTCATTTGAATTCGACTTTTTATTGTCAGTGGCAGCAGGTTGGGGCAGCAGACATGATTTGGAACCCACGCCTTTCATCACAACAGGGACCGCCTGATAAAAAGTCCTGGCGATAGGGATGTCAGGCAGGCGAGTCGCTAAGAGAACGGCCACGGTGTGGGCCATAACCCTATTTAATCAGTATTCCCTTTGAACTGGTCGGATGGGGTGACAACTTGATTCTTCTGAGGTCAGCAGGAGTGTTGCCACCCAGTCCTGGGAGACAAAGGTGTTTCACACCTTGGCCAGTTCCAGAAAGGAAGCGAGGCAGGCGGAAACTCGACTGGATGAGATGCAATGAGGACTGGCGAGCACTTTAGGCGCGGTGGGTTTAATCTAGAACGAGCTAGTTGCACTTAGGGCCCACCGGTGGCCACGTCTACTCAGAAGCAAGCCCCATTGCATGCAAGGAGGGTGGCTTCCAGGTAAGTGGGGTTAGGCTTGCAGGCTTAATGGCTGACTTGCCGCATCGATTTCAATGGCATCCAAGTGCAGGTACCTTAGGTTGGATTCAGCCCAGATTTCAACGCGCCTAACTTACAGTTGCCTGAGCATCATATAATTAAAGCACATCCCCGCTTCCCCCAAGAATCCTTGGAACCATAATTTGTTAAAGATGCTGGGAACTGTAGTTTTCTGGAGGGGTAAACGACAGCTTTCAGGATTCTTGAAGGAGGGGTAATATGTGCTTTAAAACAGGGGGGGGCTACTGCTTATTATTCATGAAACAGGCAAAAGCACCAATGAGCTCAAATGGGGTCAAAGTATGAAGTTAAGAGAACTTGGCGGCCTAATCCTCTTGGGCCGCAGCATGGCCAAAGGAGTGAGTAAATTAAACTGCTCTGGAGGGAGCTGGCAATTAGCAGAACTGCAAAGCTAACATTTCCCTCAAAGCAGGGCAAGAACAATATCTTCACACCTACTCCTCCTTCTCAACCTAGCCAAGCCTGCGCGTCAGAGATTGTCTCTGCCCGGAGAGTAGCACTTCTGTCTTAGGTGTCCATCTGTCTCTCTTGTAATGGAAGTGTAGGAAAAAGACACTACTTTCTCTTTCTGAAACTTTCTCTTTCTGTCTGTCTTTTTTTTTTTAATGTCTCTTCTCCGCATACTATAAATCACATCCAAAACCTCGCAATTCTTGTTTATTGGTCTTCCCGGTCGGTTCACGCTGAGGTTGCCCGGTGAAATGGTGTCACCAAGATATTGATCTGTATATTTCTATAGTGAACTAGCTAAGCAAACCGTGGGGCACTTCTCTTAAAAGGAAAGTAGTGAGGGGAGCAGAGTTTCAAGCTAGTTCTGTAGCATCTGTTGGGCATGAAAGACTTGGACCAGGAGTGTCGGAGCTTGTAGAATCGTCTGGAGGCCTGCGGCGATCATTTCACACGCTCAAAGTTAGCAAATATGAGCCTAAAGTTTGAAGATGGGTTGTGTGTATTGGGGGCAGGGGGGAGGAAAGAGAGAGAGACGAAACGGTCCTTCGCAATCCTCTAACCCTACACAGTGTCACGTACACACACACACACACACACACACACCCTTCTGCTTTGCTTACAAAATTGGGGAAAATCTAGACAACATGAGATGGAAACCAGCCAAATCCCACCAGCCTGGGCCTTCCTCCCTTCTCGTCCCCTTACATACGCAAACCCATCTCTTCCTGTAGCTGCTGCAACCCAAAATGGCCAGTCCCTTCTCCAGGAATCCACGTGGCAATCCCTCTTCAACATTGGATGGTGGCCATGGGTGAATCCCAAAGGCAGCAATAAAATAAAAACGCAAACAAACAAACCTGCGCCGCGCATGCCACATCTCTGAGTGGGAGGAAAAGGCAAGCAGCACAATTCTAGCCCTCCTCCCTTGTTTGTTTGTGGTTGGGACCCCTTAGAGCTTAGACCTTTACGCCCGAATATTTCAAGGACTGGCATTTGCATATACTCTGTCTGAAAAAATGAAGGCGCTTCCACCTTTAGGATCCAGAGCAGCTTTCTTTGGTAATATGCAATAAGTGTGTGTGTGTGTGTGTGTGTGTGTGTGTGTGTGTGAGAGAGAGAGAGAGAGAGAGAGAGAGAGAGAGAGAGAGAGAGAGAGAGAGAGAAACAGGGCAAGAGGAGCAGATTTAGGTCCAGCAGCTAGAAAGAATCCTGCCTTTAAAGGTCAAGGGTTTGATGGGTCAGTCTGCTTCTCTTAAAAAAACAATTAATGGGATAGAAAATTTGTCCTTTCGGTGAACTCTCCCCATTGCCCTCGCACAAACCAGGACAATGGTCGGGTGTAGTTTTCGAACTTATTGTTACATCGATTATGGCAGCCGAGCTAAAAAAAAAAAACCAACACCTACACATCACAGTGAAGCGCCCTGCGTTTTCAAGGGGAAAGGCATAAACAGAAAAACAACAACCCCAAAATCAAATAAAAACATTACCTTGAATGATGTTGATCTGCCACGTGCATTTTCCAGTCTTCGTTCTGTTCTCCACCCAGAAAGTATACATTTTCATGGCACAGCCAAGCGACTGTGTCTTTCTACATGAACCCATTTTCCCCAGGAAAATCCTTCGTGTCTTCTCAGACCTTTTTCCAAGAGAATGCCTTTCAGAATCGCTGTTGAATTACAAAGAAGTATTTATTGTAGGAGGTGATTAATGGTTCCTAGTAAAATTGCTATTTTCAGCGTGATTTCATTTCGGGCTCTCCCCCCACACACACACACAATGGAGAAAGAGGGGGAGGGAAAGGGGGGTGATCCAAGCGTAAGACTACGGAAGTCAGGGAAGATCCGCAATCATACTTCAATACTAATCATTGATTTAACAGTTTTGGGACACTCCTCTTGATTTTCGAGCGTCAGTGGATTTAGCAGAAGAGAATTCTCTAGGGCAGACCAAACAAAGACTTTAGAGGTCCATGTTAACAGGGAGGAGAGGGGGCGATATTGTTTTCTAGCCTATTCTCTTTTATTTCTTAACAACAAACAAACATGCGGGACAGGGCACTTTAAGGATATAGCAAATAAGAAAGGAAGTCCTTTGGGGTGGTTCAGTTCGACGCACACTTCCAGATTATTCACAGCAATGTTTACTTCTCTTTTGCACGGCAAGTGAGACCACAACTTTTCAAATGGCGGTGTCACCCTTCCCAGGCCGATGGACGAAGGATACATTTAAACTATCTGCTTATGCTTCCACGGCAGTTCTGCCTGAGCGGTCTACAGGCTTTTGAATTCAATGCACCACTTGTCTCCAGTATAAACCAGCATCGGATTATAGTTCTGGATATCAGAAAGGGCCCAGAACTGTATTCCACTCTCCAGAAGGAGACTAAAGAATTGCTACTTATAAGAGTGCAACCCTAGACACACTTACCTGGAAATAAGCCTCACTGTGCAACAGTGGGACTTGCCTCGGAGTAAACATCAATGGGGGTGTAGAGTTAAACAGCAACTTTCACCTGTACTTATTGCATGGGTTGGTTAAGCTGCTCAGAAGACCCCCCCCCATGAACCTCCATGTCAAGGGCATCATCTGGCTTTACCATAATGTTTTGGGTGTGCGGCTTTACGCTTCCGGTTTGTTCCCACGCCAAAGAGCGGTGGGCCATTGCAATTCGACCCTCTTCCCCCCTGTGGAAAGTTGCTGCGGCTGGAATAAACCAAGGGGTCACTACTGATGCTGCAATATGTTTAAGCATTGATAGTGCAGTGTTACTATTACTGTTCATTCTACTGGATTAGCCCCAGTATTCCCTTCATTCTACTGGATTAGTTTATTCCCTTCATTCTACTGGATTAGCCCCGTTTCTCTTCACACAAGGCGGGGAAGAACTATATTTCCCCAATGGTGTAGGCAGAGGACACATGTCATGAATGAGAATTTAGGGGGATGGACGCCAGAGTGGACTGTATCCTGTAGAAGGAGTGGCTAAGCCGAAGCGCCTCCTTAGGGAAATGGGCAGGCTGCGCAGGCCGATCCACAACTCACTTAAAACTGGGTACTTGGATGGCAGCCTATTCAGCCCATCTACAACGACACCCCCCGGCAACCTGTTTCAAGGGGAATTACTCCCAACTCTCTGGTTTCCATAGGGGCTTTGGTCTATGGTCCTATGTGGAAGCCAGCGTCATCGAAAACGATGTGACTTCCTTACACACAAAGTGGTTAGGGTGTTGGGGAAGGAGAAACGTTACTTTTTAATAAAACTAATTCGATTATAATGCAGGTACTCGGCCTCTCCTAAGGAATGGGTTGAACAGCATGTACACATGACATCCTCGAGAGTTTTCGTGTTTATGTCAACAAAGTCACATTCTAGGCAATTGCACGCTTCTCACGGTGTGTCTAGTGCCTTAAGTTTTATTTTTGTACAGAAAGGTGTGGTTTTGTTTTATTTTATTTTATTACCAGCACTGGACATTATATATACATCACACATTCACAAATGTGTACACATAGATTTCACAAACTGTACACGGACGTTTGACTATGGCAAGACACGAAGACAGAAATAGCCTTTATAGCAATATTGGTGTACTTTTCTTTTTCTTTCTTTTTTTATAAAAAGTAACAAATGCACCGTCGGGGGAGGATAATGTATCACGACTACAGCAGAGACTACACTTTTTTGTTCTTATTACACAGAAAACATACTTTCTTGGTCGGTAAGGGCTGGAGGGTGCTGGGGTCTCTGGACATCGTCCCCACTCCAACTTCCAAAATACTTCCACGTCATAAGATGGCTTTGCTTCTGTCTGTAATTGAGAGTCCACGAATGTTCCACGAAACAAGACAAAGTCTATGATTTACACACACATGTCACAAAGTCACTTATTAACATATGTTGACACCTTAAAACATATCTGCAAAGGGTCCTTCTTAGGTACAGGATCCATCCTCAACTCTTTAATGATGCTGCAGGTGGACCGTATTTCCATAAATAAATTAAAAAACGAAACATGGTGGGAATGGAAAGGTCATATTTACAGAAGGTGAACACTTTGTCCAAGGTGTTTGTTTTTGGTTTTTGGTTTAAACACACGTGCCCTGTGACTGGTTCTTGTTCTGCATTTATGCCCCTTAATATAGTCCCTATGGCAAATTAAATCAGGCAGGAGCGGGACGTGTGATGCGTTAGGGTGTCCCTGCGTCTGTCGGGCCATCAGAGCGCTGCTGAGTTTGGGGTCGCCCTACCCCTGGGCGGCGGTGTCTGATGGTGCTGTGCTGACGCTTTGGCTTGCTGGTTAAGACTGGAGGGGTTGGAGGAGCGCATCTTGGTGTTGGGCAGCTTGTGGTCCTTCTTCCACTTCATCCTCCTGTTCTGAAACCAAATCTTGACCTGGCGCTCGGAGAGGCAGAGCGTGTGCGCGATCTCGATGCGTCGCCTCCTGGTCAGGTAGCGGTTAAAATGGAACTCCTTCTCCAGCTCCAGGACTTGCTGTCTGGTGTAGGCAGTTCGAGACCTTTTGGGCTCGCCTCCAGTGTAATTGGGGTTGACTGAGCGTACACAGGCGCGCGCACACACGCACACACACACACGCACGGACACAAAGGAGAAGAAGGCAACGGAACATTATCATTATTATATAATAACTCGACACTGGGTTTAGATTAGCCACAGAAGCGGGGAAGAAAATGGTTCACAGGCTCGTGACAATAGGAGACAATTGGGGAGCCATAAAAAATGGTGACGGGCATTTGGGTTCAAGAAAAGCTTCAAAGAGACGTGGCCCAGAGCCACAGGCAGGGCGATTAAATTTATGGGGACTATAATTACTGCCCTAACAGTTTGGCGTCTCGTAAATCTCTTGATAAAGGGCCCCGAGTACAAAAGGCTTCTCACGTGTGCGTGCGCGCTTTTTTAAAATTAGGAAATGCGCCAGCACACACACACACACGTATATGCACACAACCTCGGAGTCCAGCCTAGCCCAGCCTCCTCCACCTCGCCACGCACACACATACAAGCCATCCCGGCTCCCCTTGGAAGAAGGTGGTCAACTCACCCGTGTTAACGTGGACCTTCTTCATCCACGGGTACACCACCGGCTCCTTGCCTTTCAGGCCGGGCAGGCTCTTGTCCGGCAAGAGCGGGCAGGCAGGGATTCCCCCGGGCGCTGTCGCCGCCGCCGCTGCTTCGCAATGGCGCTGGTGGGGCTGAGGCGGTGGCGGGACGTGGCCTTGGAGCAAGGGCTGGCTCGGGGCATGGTGGCCCTTCCGCGCGGGAGTCTGTGGAGCAGGCAGTGGCGGGGGTGGCGGAGGAGGAGGCAGGGGCGGCGGAGGAGGCGGTGGCGGCGAGGCTCCGGGAGGCGGCTGCTCCTGGCCCGGAGTGGCGCTGAGGCTGCTGTAGCTATAAGGCGACTCCGGGTAGTGGTGGGGTGGCTGCGCGGGGTACAGCGCCTCGGGAGGAGGAGGCGGAGGAGGCGGCGGCGGCGCTGGCGGCTGGTATCCGGGCTCCCTGCTCGGCCGCTGGTAGTAATCGGGGAGAGGCTGGCCGGGGTGAGCCTGGTGGTGCTGCTGGCGCAGGTGCTGCTGCGGCTGAGGATGGTGGTGATGGGGTTGCTGGTGGTGGGGCTGGTTCTGGTGGTGGTGTTGGTGGTAGCTGCTCCCGCCGCCGCCGCCGCCGAGCTGCGAATATTCCTCGCAAGGAGGGAATTTGGGCTCGATGTAGTTGGAGTTTATCAAAAACGAACTCATGGTCATTAATTTGTGAAGTGCAAAAATACTAATTTTTCTCGCGTTGTCGTTTTTCTGGGCTCGAAGAGGCCCCTCCCCTCCTCCCCCTTCTTCCTTCCTTCCCTCCCTCCCTCTTTCCTTCCTTCCCTCCCTCCCTCCTCCTCCTCCTCCAACCCCCCTTGCTGCTGTTGTCAAGCGCCTGCTGCCAAAGTTTGGGCCTCCGCTCCCCCCTTCCTTTCCAGTTCCCACCCCAAGAGCCTGGAACACACGCGCGCGCAAACACACACACACAAACCAGTGCCACCCCCACCACCTGACCGGCAGGGCCAATTGCTACGCGGTTGGCAGAGCCCGGATCAGGAAATGAAACGCTGGTGGACAAGCCCAGGACGGTCCCTGCCTGCCTGCCTGTCTTGCCTTGCAGAGGCAAGGAGATTCCTTTCTGCGCGCTCCAGACAGTGGCGGTCAGAACCGAAGTCGGCGCAAGCGACCTAACTAGAGAATTAGGCCGAGAGGAAAGCCTCCGGGCCATGCAGCTGTGGGCGAGGGGGCTGCTGCTTTGAGCGAGTTTCCCCAGTGAAAGCAGCGAGGGATCCTTGCTTGACATGCTAGGTCACCTAAGACTAACCACCTAAGACTTACCCCTTAAAACAGCTATGTGCTACTTAGGGTCAGGGTGGTTTAGGGAGTGATCTGGGGCAGCCCAATAGTGTGTGTCGCAGAAGACGTCCTTGTGCGCTATCATGATGAGGGAACCAAGGCTAGTCCTTATTCCGGAATAATATATCCTCCTGAACGCAAGCTGGGAGTTTGCGCATGTGTGCTATTTCTGACCACAAGCATCAGGCCGTGAGTAGCAACAGTGTGAGCAAAGCATTGTATATGTATCTGAAACCGAACATCAAACGCAGCGTACGGTTTCGCTCTCTGTATCTCCAGTCCTTACCAAGTCATTGAAAGCAAAGGAAACGCAGTGTCCTCCCGAGACGTAAAAGGGCACCCGAGATCGCGTGATTTCGGGGGCATCAATGAGTGATTGGACGGTAGCAGTGCAATCAATGAGACCAGTCGATCCTATGAAAACAGAGACCACCTAATTGCAACTAGCTATTTGTTTCTCTCTGATACCTCCCGGGGGCTTTTAAATGTTGCTCTTTTACGATAATTTAATTATTTTTAAAATCTTCCACCCCGTGGCAAATTTGGAGCTGCGGGGGCATATCATTAAATAGAGAGGCCAATATAAAAAGACTTTTTTAAAAAAAGGTGAATAGATTTTAATCAAAACCTCCAGCAGACTAGAGAGGCAGTTAAGATCAAGAATTAAGTCCATTCACGTGCCTAAATAAATAAATAAAGCTATCTAGTGCCCAGGAAACAGTATTTCCCTTGAGAAAGCGAGAAAGGGAGAGGAATTGGTTATTTAAAACAGAATACACCGTTATCTTTCACAAGTACCGTAAACATTGCAGTTGAGCGTCGTGAATAGTCTCTTCGACTTGCGTTACGATTGCTGGAAATTGATCCGTTTGCAAGACAGGGAGGAAAAGGAGGCGATGGCCTGACCTATGGGGTAATTGAAATCTGGACGTTAAACTAGCCTTTATTATAGTATATATTAATTCAACCGCTTGGTAGGTCTAGTGACCCACCTTCGTTTTTAATATTTGAGTCTTTAGGGACACACCCATTTAATATAATATTAATATTAGTTTAAAAAAATAAGAATTTGGAACTTGATAGAATGCTGCTCTGCCCTCTTCCCAAAGAACCAGTTTAGTTTTAAGAAAAGGATCCATATAATAGGAGTGTTCATTCTCATCGTGATTATTTCACTCGAAGTGTGGACTGATGACTTTTTCGGTTGTATCAACCGCTCATAGCGCTCATGTGGATGACGATTGCATCTAGATTAACCAGCTACAATTCTTTGTGTATAAATGTGTGTCAGTGCGCTCAATAGGTCCCGTTTCTATGCTCTCGTTGAATTTCCCTTCCTCTTCTCTGTGCGTCTCCCTTAAACTGCTGAAACCTCGTTCCACGATAACAACAATAATAGTAATAATTAATAATAATAATAATAATAATAATAATAATAATAATAATAATAATAAAGTGCTGGTTTCCAGATACTATCGGAAATACCTCCGTCCTGGAAATGGCAAGAGCCCTCCCCACCCCACCCCACCTTGTACATCTCCAGTGGATATTCTATGTATGCAAAGCTTTCTCGAATGCACCATACACTGTGGAAGCAAATAGATGCCACTGGCGAGTGCCAGGCCGTAAAACACTCGCAGACAATGCGGAAGTCAAATAGCAGGATCCAACACTTGGCTTTTTAACGCTGATTGCGTGCCTGTGACATTTGTAGGAATGACAACCGGCTCCAGTCCCGTTTTATGGTTTCAGGGAATAGTAGACCGGGATGCAAAGCTGCCTCTTTGGGGAGGTCTTTTGCCACTAACAAACAGCTACAATTAAGCCCATGGTTGGTGTTAAACGGCTAAAGCAAAGGCGCAGGGTTTTGTTTCGCTTTTCCCTCCCCTTTTCTCGCACACGCTGAAATGGACGGTGCGATTCTGGCACAGAAACACTGCAAGATGCACCTCTGACATAAACACTATCAATTTCCCTTGAGATAAAGCGGTGCCCTTGCATCTGAGGGCGATAGTAAATGCCAGAAAACCACCAGGCGTCAAAACCGCAGGTTTTTTTTCCAAAACAAAACAAAAAAGAAAAGAAACCACAACAATACAAGGAAAGCAGGTACCTTCTCTCTCTTTTTGTCTGCTGATTATTACCTTCGGAGAACGTCCCAGGGGCTGTTTAATATTAGCTCTCCTGATTGTATCTCAGAGCCTGGTCTGTTTCCCCCTGGTCAGCTTTCCACTGGGTGTCTCCTTTGCTCAGTTGCAACAAGCAATGAATACGATTCTAGAGCTGGGGCTGTAAATCTCCAAGGTGACCTAAGCTGCTCAGCTGCGGGAGCAGCCAGGGTTTCTCCCCACCCCACCCCCCACCTCCATGGGATTCTATCAGGCTGCAGAGATGGGCCTGTTCCTCGTCTTTGCGGTTTACATATCATAAACAAGAGCCCAGCCAAGACCACCAAGTTGTTATCTCATATGCGGCGGTTTCCACGTTCAGCCTCCCCTCCCGCTCCCTCCAGAGATTTATGGCTCCGCGGAGCAAATCCCGGAACGAACCTACACCGAACCCTGAACCCTGGCCTTCTGAAACGGCTTCAGAGCATCGCCTATCTTTTTTCTCTTTTTTTGTAACCACACACATTTCAGTGAGGGGGATTTCAGCACCAAGACCTCATCATCACCGCAGATCAGGGGAGGCTGAAGTTTAGCAGCTAACCAGTGAAGAACGTGGAAGATTGACCGAAATGAAAGTTGATGGCACGATAAATCCGAGGTTCCCAAGAAACAGGAGCCGCTCTCAGAACTGGAGCAAACCAAGTAAATGGATAAGCGGAGAGTGTGCCAACCCCGACTAGCAAGTTCAGAGTGTAAATATAGATGTGTGTGTGCGCGCGCGCATCGCAATCTTAGATTGCGCTTTTATAGATAATCTATGCAATTAAACTTTCCAACTTGCCCACGCGCCTGGGAGGGAGAGAGGGAGCGAGCGAGCAATAGAGACGCGGGCGGGGGGAGGGGGAAGGCGGGTTGGCGGTGGAGAGCGACACCCGGCAGCCTGGCTTGAATTTGATTCGAGGCATTTTGAATATATTTAACCCAGCTTTCACTCTTGAATGCAAGCCTGCCCCAAGTTTCAAAGTGACCGAAAAGTGACACCGGGCGCATTTTGTTTCTTATTAATCTTACACATTGACAGTCTTTGTTAAATAACAAGGCGTGCCCTTCACAAAGCGACATTTTCATATTTGTTAGACGCGCTGACCTGAAGTTCACCTCGGCCTTGGACTTAGGGGTTTTTTTTTTCTTCCCCCTTCCGAGGTCTTTAAGAGCGTCTTTAAAAAAAATAGCAAGGGGCAGAGCGAGGCTCTCGGCAGGTCACTTATTCGCAAATGGGGAAGGAATCTTAAGGCGGCCGTGCGAGAAAACATGTAAACGTTGTGATAATGCAGCGGCTGCGTTTATCCTAAACTTCCTTTGAATCAGCAAAAGGTCCTACCAGGGAACTGGATGATGTGATGGAGTTCCTATGGAGTTCATTTTTGGGACAAGAGGTTGGGATGTTCTCCTTCCCCACCATTCCGAAATATTGGTGATTTTATTTATAAGGATCTAACTCGTGTGTGTACGTGTGTGTGTATTTGGCAACTGGACTTTGAGGTCCTGGTCGTCCAGGACCGTAAATAAGCACAATTCTAAAGAAGGGGAAGATGGGGCGATTGGCATCTACATTTGAGGCTGAGAAGGCTAATCTTTTCAAAGGTCACGTTACGCACCAAGTACCAGTGTCTGTGCTGCGCTAGAGGTAGGATCCTCCGACTATATGGGTATGACTCCGATCAAAGCAACAAAAGCCCACTGTGTCGTTTTTATTTTTACCTTTTAAAAAAATGAATGAATGAATAGAAACCGACTTGAGAAGGCAATACTTCTTCCAGATGCACTTTGAAGCCCTTCTGGAAATATTCTGTATTTGAAAAAACTTGTCCCTACTCCCACCCCCACCCCCCCGCCCAAAATTCCACCTTAAATGGAAGCAAAATAAATTGGCACTAGGAGTCCTTGGGAAAGAAAGCCAGGTTTCGCTTTGCTGCTTTCCACAGAGATCTTATTCTCTCTCTTTTTTCTCCCTCTATTTTTTTTTTTAGCCAAGTTTTTCAGGACAGGCGGAGTCAAAGAAGTGTTGTCTTCGAAACAGTCTCCCTGGTCTTCTGTGCATAAAAGGGACGTTTAGGCAAACATTCCGCCTTGCAATGTTCATGCTTCCTATAATTAAATTTCCAAATAGGCAATGCAGTATTTCAAGGGCAAAACCGAAATAGGAGAGGCGTGTTTTTAACAGTGTGTTGTGAATAGCATCCCCCTCCACCTTACAATGGTAATTTCAGTGCAAAAGCACATATAGGAGACACGGGGGACGGGGGACGTTGCAAGATAATTTTGAAGAGAAGGTCGCTGATGAAAAACCAACATATATTGCAAATATATTTCCTAGAAGCCCAACGTCCTCGCCTTATAATTAAAACTATTTCTTGTCGAACGGGGAGGTGTTCCCTAGTTCTTTGTGTATTTTCAAAGCATTGATAAAGCCTTCTAATAATAACTTGCTTACTTTCTCCTGCACGTTATCTCTGTTTCGACACCTCTGAAAGGAGCAATCTCTCCTATGTATATGCTTAGTAATAAACCACTCAATGGATCTCTGGGAAATATTCTGAATTTCATAGGACTGAAAAACGCACCTTCTCGGATTTAAAAAAAAAATACACAAAAGAAACAAAACACCTGGCAACACAGTGAAAACGGAAAATCCATCTCAGGAAGCAATCCTACTCATGGCTAAATAAATAATCCCTACTTCCCTATTTGAAATAAATAGTTATTCAGATACAAACACGCTTTGAAAAAAAGAAGGGAAAAAATACAGCTTAATTGTGGCTAAATAAGGCGGCCAAAAGGGTGAAGCTATATATTTCTTATTAAACGTATAACCCTAAAGGATGGGGGGGGGGGGCAATGCAATTTGCATAGGGTCATTCCTTAACTTTCACTAAGAAAGACAGCATATCTGGACTTCTCCAGTATTGCCATGCTTGTATCCGGCAGTGAGATGGTCATCTCAGTCTACTCGTTTCCTCAGATATTGCTATCACCCAGCGGGCTGTCTTCTGGTACCCACTAGACAGTTAAGAACTCAACTGGCACCTTATTGAGCCTTTGGAGAGGGCTAGCTGTGTTAGTCTGTTGTAGCAAAGCCGAACAACACACACACACACACACAAAACAGAGTATTGTGGCAGTTAAAAGCCAGACAATTGTACTATGGCGTACGCTTGTGTGAACAAGAGTCCACTTCGCTGAGATTCAGAACTATTAAAATCCAATGGAAATTTCCGATGGACTCTGATAGGACTCGCACGAACCTTTAAAATGCATTGGTGGTGGTGCGTGTATGCGCAGTTGCCTGGGGGGGGGGCAGGAATGTGCGCCCGCATTCACCTGATGCATCTGCCAGCCAACGATATTCAATGGGGGAAATGTGGTTGATAATTCAAGATGAAATACAACGTGCATTACTCTTTGAAAAGAGGGATTTTCTATCCTTTCCTCGGTAATTGAGGTCATTCAACCACTAGAGTTCACCTGGAGTCCATACTATGATACACGCCTAACTCAAAGCTATTTTATCTTTTGTGTTGATAGTCAAGATCTTGGCTATAACATTGACATCAAACTCTGTCTGGGCGCATGACTAAGAGTGGCGCACAACGTAAACTTTTGACCCTCAACGTTTTGACCTAGAGTTGTTACGCCCTAACCACAGAGATATACAAAAGCGGAGCAGCTCCTATCTCCGTAAAAGAATCTCCAGCTCTCTTGTTTGTTGCCGTCAAGCCTTGACTGTTTCCCTTTTCGCTAAGATTTTAAGGGAATGCAGTTTCTGCATGGCTATTTGTTTGGGGGTTTTTTAAAAAAGAGAGCAGCCTCAACGGCTTTCAACACTGAAACCGAATTCCAAAATCAAACGCAATGCCCAGACACCAGCGTGGGACATTAACTAGATTATACTGAAAGGAGCGATGTGCTTTCCAATGGTAGATGTGTAAATTCTGGATGCGAAGTGGGGCGCAGTGACCGGGCAATTTATCCAGGCTGGCCATTGTGCCATCTTATTTATTTAATAAAGACCCTGATCCAACGGAGTCGAGAAGCCTTGCCCACGGAGAAAGCAAGTTGACTGTGAACTTGGTCTAAAGCGAGCTCTGCTGGCGAGTTCTGGAGTGTGCAGATTTATCTTAGTTTCTGCATTTACTTAACCTGGCAATGAACTGCGAGGGCTGCCATTTATTATCCAGAGACAGACTTCACCTCGAGCAAGGACTGTTTCACAAAAACTGCAATAATTACCCAATAACCTTCATAACAAATATTATTATTGAAAAGCCCATTTCAGAGGGTTATGTGGAGAAGGAAAAGAAGGGGACAGGCTGCCTGGGAAGAGACGCCCTTTGGAAAACATGGTGTCTTTCTCTCTGAGATCACAGTGCATTGTTTGCGTCCAATATGCAAACCATACAGCCCTGTGATTGTGGAGGAGCTGTTTTCGAGAAACGCTAGCCGCCAGGGAAACTACTAGGATTTTGGAGAATCGTGAAAACAAAGCCTGCGAAAAATAGAGGTTATGTGATCAGAGTGGATAGAAAGAACAAAAAACTCCCAAAGGCCGAATTATACAGAGCAGAAAATCAGATGAAAAAGGGGAAGAAAGAGGGATTACAGGAAAGATGCAATCCAAGTGCTTATGTCCTCGATATTAGAATGTAATGTTAAAAGCTGGACAGATAAGGTAGAAAACGCTTGCAATTTCACTCTTTTGAAGACAAGGAAATTAATTCGTTAAGATAACGCCACTAATAATTTTCCCATGATGCTTTGTAGTGAGGGGCACGCGCAAACCATCGAATCATGTGACTTAGAAAAGCCATCTTACGCTTTAAAGAAAGTGAAGTCTTCCGACGCCCTTGCTATATACACACACCCTTGTCTAACCTTTAATGGCGCTGGTGCTTACATCTGGGCCAGCGAAGTACTTCTAAGGTTCAGAATTGCTCGCGGTAATTTAAGTAAAATAAACCACACAGTTGTCAGAGAAAGAAAAGTAACAGTGATACGACAGTCATCACCATCAGATATACTTGCACTAAATACACATACAATATTATTTTAAAATGGGCTTTACATTCCGGAGTTTCGTGTGGATGTGTTTTGCCTAGGTTATTCGGTAGAGTGTTTCAAGGTGGCATGACAGAAAACTACAGTAGAAATATTTTTAAATAGTGACAATTCCCATAGTTATTCGCATGCTCAATGAATTCATCTTGTGTTTAGGGGTTGGCTTTTTTTGTTTTGTTTTTTGTGCGTGAGGAATTTTGCCTACTCAGAAGAAAGTCTCGTTGATTTCAATGGGATTCACTCCCAGGGAAGTGAGTATAGAATTGCAGCCTAAATGACATTGTTCACAAAGCTGTATGTGTTTCACTGGCTAGTATCCATTCAGTCAACTAGCAATCAGAAGGCTGGATCGCTAGATAGCCACGGTAAGAGTTATATAAGCATTCAGCTCAATGAATTGTTTTCCCCCAGTTACAAAATCAGACGGCATCAGGATTTCCCTACTCCATTCCTGAATTCTTTTGAATTAAATCCAACAGACTTCAGTACGATTTTCTTCTGCCTAGGTATGGAGCAGAATGACCACAACCTTCAGATGGTCTCATCCAAGACGGTGAGGTCAGATCCAGCCCCGAATGAGCTTAAACTGTACCTTGTTTTTCACTAAGAAACAGAAGCTAAAGTTCAGTTCATGTAAACTGAAGTAGATTAGCACCTGGATTTCAGTGATATTTCACTTAGGGAAATATCCCCTTGAAAGCCTGGACTCGAATTTCCCAGCAAATACTTTAGGAGTCCAACAATAGTCCCCTTGGATGTTGTTGGGTTTTTTAAAAAAAGTGTAAAATCAGGTCCTTCCCTTAACTGGATTATGGATTTGTAATTCAGCCATCTGTTTCTATTTAGCAGATATGCATTATATTTAAATCCTTATTTTTTCTACTGAAAAAAATCTAGTCATAGTTTCAGACACGTGTATACGCATTGCTAACTATTTAAGGTGTAGGGAAGTAAATACCATGAAAATGCCAGCTACTATTAGCATTCGGTTCTGTGTGATTAAGTCTGCCACATAGGCTTGGACTAAATGTATAATTAAAAACTGCTCCTCCCCGCCCAGTTTATTGCATTGCTAGCGTATCCATCTGTATTCAGGGAAATGTATAAAAAAATATTTGAAGTCTTAAACTATATATTCACTTATTGCTGCACGTTTCTCAGTCTTCTAAGATTACCCACCTATACACGAGAAAAAAGGTCCTTCATCAGAATATCTTTTTCCAAACAGCCACTAGGACAGGGCACGCTTATGTTATATTACGCTATTATATTTTCTGACAACACTGTCTTTTCCTCTGATGTCCAAAGCGATATAAGAGTGGGAAAGCATATTCTAGAACCCCACACGCTGATAACAATCTGTTGTTGTTTTTTTAAAAGGCAGGAATTGGGGTGAGATCGTTTCAAACCTCACGTGGGGTCACCTCAATGTATGAGCCCATTTGGACGGGCCCCTCTTACTTTCTTTTTCAAAAAGAGTAGGGTCCTATCTTGCCAATTCTTGGTCACCTGCATGGCTTTTAGCTACAAGGCGCTCCAAAGATACAACTGATAAGACTTAAAAGCTGCTCGTGTGAGCAAGGATTTGGCTCTGGCAGTACAAAGAAGCTGAGAAGAAAGAAAAGGAAATAACAAAACAAAACAAAAAGAAGAAGGGCAGTGGAAAAAGGGATGCTCTTTCACGCTCTCTTTCAACCCTGGAAATTCAAAGACTTAAAGTTGAATCCGGTCATAAAGTTTATTGCTGAGTAATCACACTCTAGTGAGAAGAGTCTACTTAAATAGAAAAAAAGAATGTTGAAATAAACAGGCAGCTGGGGCCTACCCTGCAATTCCCAGCCAGTAATGTGTGTATGTAGATATATATATATGGATATCTATATAAATGGGGTTATTTACTATCGCCTATAAACCTATACGTATTGTACTTCATAATTCCAAGCACTCCAATGGCACGTAGAATCTCCTGTAAAAGTTACAGTCAGTTTGTTCCTTCATGGGAAGGGATAAAGGAACCAGCGGGAAATGAAGGCACTGGGGTTGTGGGGAATCTACGGTAAGGGTGTAAATTGCGTAAATATACACTCTATGTACACACAGAGAGGGACACACGAGAGAGATGGAGGTACGTAGGGGTAATTATGGAGGAGAGATAAGTCTCAAAGAACCTTAACCACGTAAAAAGTCAGACTTGGAGCGCACCTTCCTTGTCTTTTAGAGACGATAAGTTGGAAAACTTATCTTGGAAAACCTACGACTGCGTCAATTCCACACACATCCCGCCCCGCAAAGACAGGGATGACCAGTCTACAGACATAGCCATATCTATGTTCCTTTCATTAAAATATTTTTTTTAAAAAAAAAGTCGCCTGCGGACTCTCTGCCCCCTCAATAAACAAAATCACTGGGCACGGAAAAGCAAAGGAAGTCATTATCATTTGCCCTAGTCAAAGTAATTAAAGTTAGGCCTCAAAATCCATCTCTGCCAAAGTCGCTTATTGTGGTTTGCCTGGATTTGAAGGATAAAATTTTAAAAAGGAGAGGTTAGATAAAAATGGGGAGGAGGGAAAACGGCCCCCTACCCACTGTAACCTGCGCCTTTCAAATATTATTTCTTCCCTTCCGAATCAACGGGGCAGCGTTAAGAAGGAGCCAGGCAACGACAGGCGAGCTCTTCACTGTACAAATAAACTTAAGCAACTTGTGCACGAAACTTACCTTAACTTGCAATGAGCCATTTTTTCAGAGAGTATTTGAGAACTTGGGGGAATGGATACTTCTGTACCTAAACCTGACAATTTGAATGGCCAGGAGGCGCACGTAGCCTGCAAAAGAGTCAAATGAAGTCCATCGTCAGTGTGATTATATGTTATGTGGTATATAATGTTGGATGACAACTCCCCAAAACCATAAAACTTACTTTAATGGCACCACGTGACTTTTTATAGCCAGTGAGCCTATCTGTCTGTGCTATGGATGATTTTACGATCTAATTCATAGACAAAACCCTATTCATTTGGCACCCAAATGTCATATAGCCGGAACTGGGGCTTATAAAGTTTACTGTTTTATAACTTTTAAGGGAAGGCATCAATGTAAAGCCGTCTGTAAATGTGCAAAGCTTTAGTTGCGCTTAGAAGCTCGGGAGAGTTAACCATTCAAGCCCTGGTGAGGGTAAGTAACGTTACATTTCCTAGCAAAAAAAAAGAGTAGCTGTAGCGAAAATAAATAAATAAATGTTATGTCGAAGGGTGGAATTTATCCCCACCCGCTCAACAACAGCCACAAAACCCTTCCCCAATACCTTTTTTTAAGAGTGCAGAATAAGAAGGTGGGTGTATCTGGTTTATTTAAATACTTTTTTCCCCCATGTTGGACTGGTGCTCAGAGATGCAAGACCTTTCTGGCAGGTCTAGCTTTGTTTAACTTATGAGGATGAACCGATGGAGATAGTATAAAGCAAGTTCTGGAGATGATAATGTTGTTGAAGAAAGGACAGTCGTCTTCTTCTTCTTTTCCCCCCCTCCCCAGCCAAGAAAGAGCAGAAGTTTGGGGCATTCCTTCTCCCTCCCACCCCACTTCCAAGACAAGGAGTTGGCTGAGGGTCTGTTATTGTGAGCCCTCCATCCAAATAACTTTACAATTCCAAGGGATCTGGGGCAATCGTGTTTGCATCTACTTTGAATTTGGGTTGGGTCCTTCTCCAACTTTGCTCTAGTTAGAGTGATGAAGCTGAGGGCACCTCCGTTAGGATAGAAACCAAACTACCCGCAGAAGTAAAAACAAAAACCGGGGGGTTCGATGGGGAAGAAAGAAAAGGGGGAAACCCTTACAATAGAAAGTTTATTTTTTCCAGTCAGTTATTAAAAAAAAACCAGTTTCTTTTCAAAAGCCGATCACATTATTGTTGTTGTTGCTGCTATTATTATTATTATTATTGTTTGCTCAAACAGCCAGACTTTGACTCTATGTGTAACTTTGTTCACCAAAAGAAAGGAAGGGAGCTATAAGAGAGAAGGGGGGGGGAATACGTTACTGAAGCTGCGCTTAATAAAAAAGCCACTTCTAAGACTTCGTGCAAAGAGAGTCATATACAAAGGCACAAGCAAAGGACATACTGTCTGGAATCACAGTTTTCGTCACAGATTCACGATTCACTACACGTTAGGACACGTTCCGTTTTTGTATTTCGTCATATTCACCTCTACAACAGCCATTAATGGACACAGGGAAATAAGATAGGTCGTTTCTGATCGGAAATCTCGGCCACAGCTTGGAGCTATACAGACACTGACACGTTTTGAACACACATGCACAGCAAAGCACAGCGAGTGCAACACACACAGAGAGAGAGAACATTGGGAGTCAAACAGGACTTGTAGGGGAGCCAGAAGGGAAGGAGTTGAGGGGGAAGCGAACGAGGGAACAGATCGTCCTCCTTTACTTTTGTGTTTGTCTAGGGTGTCTCCCCCCCCCTCGGTTCCCCCCTCCCACTTTACAGTTACTTCAAGTAACACCACTCGCTTCATATAAATAAGTTAAAACATCTACATTGTCCCCCCCCCCTTCAAGACAAAAGCCATTCAAGACATAAAATGCACGGGAAGCAGATCTACTCGTAACACGCGCTAGAGAGAGAGAGGAAGAGGGAGACGCGGGCGGGGGCGGGGCGGGGGGGCTCAATTAAAACAGGCTCAGGATGAAACGATGGGCGAGGGAATCTTCAGCCTCCCAGAGAAGTTGGAGCAAGTCAATGTGGTCTACAGAACGATGGGCAGAAGGAGAACAGGAGCGGGAAGAGGCTACTGACATTCCACGCAGGGTCAGCTCAATTATAATACTGCTCAGTTACTCGGGGTTTTTTGTTTTGTTTTCTTCCGGGGAAGGAAGAAGGAGAAGGAGCAGCAGCAGCAGCAGCAGCAGCAGCAGCAGCTTCAGGGCCGGGGGCTTTTCCTCTTAAGGGCGGAAGGCTCCTCCCGCCGCTGCCATGCTCATACTCTTCAGCTTGTTATCCTTTTTCCATTTCATCCGCCTGTTTTGGAACCAGATCTTGATCTGTCTCTCTGAGAGGCAAAGAGCGTGCGCTATTTCAATCCTCCGCCTGCGGGTCAGGTATCTATTGAAGTGAAACTCTTTCTCCAGCTCCAGGGTCTGGTAGCGGGTGTAAGCAGTCCGAGCCCTTTTCCCTTCGGGACCCCCTATGTTGTCTGCAACAAAAAATAGAAAGGGGACGACACGGTTTAGACCTTTGGCAAGAGGAGACGTCCCACCGCCGCCACCCCGGATCCTTCCTCTCCAATCTTCCTCTCCCTGATTTCCTTCTCTGTTTGGTTTGGGCGTTAAGTTGGGAGAAAATGATCAACAAGTAGCTCCTTCTCCTCTCTCGCTCTCCCCACCCGCATGTATCTCTTCTCCCCTTCCCTCAAATAATATCCCGGGCTCTGAATTTGAGTAGCCTTCCCTTTGCCTCTTCTGAGGAATTTTATTTAATCTGGGGAAGACAGGATGGCAGCTCCCTTCTGCACCCCGATCCTTAATATATTACTACTCGCAAGTAAAAGAAAACAAAACCATTTGGCTTCATGAGAACTTACTTCCTCCTGACAGTATGCTTAGGGTCGTGGGGAAGTTGTTACTAGAGTGAGTTTTACACAAACATAAACACCCAAACCAAGCACCCTCTGAAGTTCTGGTCCCACTCCTGATCTGAACACACTTTATCTGGGAGTCAGTGGGAAGAATTTCCAAGTGCACTATGGACTGCAGGATTAAGCCCCCCCCCAATTGCCCCCCTCCAACCTCCTCTCTTAAGTTTTCCCTCGACTTCCTTCCCTCCCAGAAAAAAATATTTCACCCCACACCCCCTTTCTCTCTCTCTCTCTCTCTCTCTCTCTCTCTCTCACACACACACACACACACACACGCATTATTTACTCAACTTCTTTTTTGATATAATTAGTAACGGTGTTTTTCACTGGACGGTCCTCGTCATAAATTACAAGAACTGACACGCACTATTCAAGATCCCCCCCTCTCTCTCTCTCTCACACACACACACACACACGCTTTCCCTCTCTCCCCTCCCCCCAAATTTCAATTACACCTCACAGTCCGGGAGACTTAGAAGAGTTATTAAAGAGAGCTTGGCTCACCCTACCCCGATTTCCAAAGTCCCACTTGCCTTTTCCAAGAGGGACGGGGTTTGGGGGGGGGTTCCTCCGCATAGACCAGAAGATCAGACAAGCAGGCAGAGGAAGACAGAGAGCAAGAGAAAGCACATTTCTTGCCCACCACGTTTCCTCTTTTGCAAACAATCTACCTTCTCTCTCCCTCGACACACTCCCCCCCCCCATCCCCACCCCTCTCTCATACATAGATATTGTAATCCGGGCATGCTTTTTACCATGGCTTATGTGCAGTTTTCTCATCCAGGGGTAGATCTGGGGCTGTGGCGGCTGTGGAGCTGTGCTTTGGTCGTTCTGCTGGGGATTCGCCTGCTCGCTGCTGGCCGGGGCGTCCTCCTCGGTGCCTGGCGACGTGCTGAGCCCTTCTCTGCCTAGGTGGTGGGGGTTGTTGCCGGTGCTGCTGGCGCTGCTGCTGGCGCTGGCGCTGCTGCTGCTGCTGCTGGCGCCGCTGCTGGAAGTGGACGAAGTGCTGCTCGAGTTGGCCGTGGAGTTTTTCACGCTGCCGCCGTGATGAGCGTCGCCGCTGACAGGCGAGGTGGCCGCCGCCACGGCAGCGGCGCAGGGCAGAGGGTCAGGCGGAGGCGAGTGAGTGGCCCCCGTGGCCCCCGCCGCCGCCGCCCGGCTGGCGTACCTGGCCTCGGGGGCAGCGCTGGCGGGGTAGCTGCTGCGAGCCCTCTCCGAGGGGCCCCCTGCCCCAAAGTGGCTGGAAGCCGAGCGGCCGACGCTGAGGTCCATGCCATTGTAGCCGTAGCCTCCGCCGCCGCCGCCGCCGCCGCCGTACCTGCCGGAATGCATGCTGGCGGAGTCCCTGAATTGCTCGCTCACGGCACTGGGATCTCCATAATTATGTAACGGGTAGTCCGGGCCATTTGGATAGCGACCGCAAAATGAGTTTACAAAATAAGAGCTCATTTGTTTTTTTTGTTGATGATGATTTTTTTGTTGTTGTTGTTGGTTGGGATTTTTTTGTTGCTTTTTTTTTTTTTGATCGGGGGGCTTGATTTGTGGCTCTTTGCTTCGTTTTTTGGTGCGTCTATAGCACCCTAGCACAATTTATGATGAATTATGGAAATGACTGGGACATGTACTTGGTTCCCTCCTACGTAGGCACCCAAATATGGGGTACGGCTTCATATCACGTGCTTTTGTTGTCCAGTCGTAAATCCTGCCTGATGACCTCTAGAGGTAAACTCGTGCACTAAATGGGGGAGTTTGGGTGGATGCTGGAAGGGCTGGGGCGCGCGCGCCGGCGCGCGCACCCGGCCGCCAGCTCGCGACTGTCAGTCGGCCTCGTGCGCCACCCTCTGGAGGAAAGCGGGATCTTCACCTCCGCAACACGCCCCCCCGCCCCAGCCAGGGGCTTACTCGCAAGTCTGGGGTCGAATCGAGGTTACAGCCCATTATAGCAAAATTATGGCATCTCTCACACAGTTCCATTAGTATGGACCAATTTTTAAGGGCTATCGGCTCCAGATCAGAAAACCAGCAAGAATTCAGAAGCATAGGGGAGAAATAATATATTCAACCTTTCCTTTTCAATAAGATTCCTTTTAATCTTGCACATTCCTTTATTATTTCCTAACATCCCCCATTCTGCTAGAGATTCTTTACAAAGAAAAGCTATATAAATAGAGAGAGCCATATATATATAGGGGTTTCTTTTGCGGGAGGAAGGGAAAAGACTAATTATTATTGAAGCCAATTAGAGGAAAGCAATAAACCCCAACATTCTAGCAACAATTACTGTGGTGTCCTTTTTTCTCAGGCGCTTGAAAAACCAGGATAAAAGGGGTGGCGGGGGATCGATCGCTGTGTATTTTTAAAGATCAGTGCCGATTTCAAAATTTCCTTCAGCTGAGCTGTTCTCTAAGCCTCTTTTAAACAGCCTGGAACTAAAAGCAAGCAAACCCCAGTATCATTTTATGACACCATGGCATATTCTCTCCCTCCCCCACCCAATTTCACAACAACATATATATATATATATAAGGTTGGTGATCTTTTGAGGGGTAGGTTTTCACCATTTCACTTTTATTAGTATTCAGAGTCATTGCCCAAAAAGTACAATTTTCATAGTATCGAAAAAGACCTTTGCATTTCCACATATACACAGAGGACGCCAAACACACTTAATCGCATATATAAAGACACATTTTCACTGTCACTGTTATTTAAAGCAAACCGTGCTTGCGCCGGATCCTTCTTCCACACATTCTCAATGAAAGCATAGAATAGTAGCTACATTTCGACTTTGCTTCCATCACCATCATAATTTACTGTCGTTGTTTAGAAATTTAACCAAATGTGAAGGAGGGGAGGTTGGGGAAACAGCCACGATTCAGTATTTTGCCTACTCCTTCAACAGTACTCAGAAATCAAAGTTACCCTCGATAGTCAAGTTGTGTTTGTGAGCGTGCATATACATGTGTGTGTACACACACACACACACACACACACACACACACACTCCTCTAATTCGAACTCTACCCATCTCTGCCTGCCTGGAGATACTTCTCCCTTCACTTGTTGTGCTTTTAATTACAGTATTTTGAGCTTTGTGGGTGTTTTTTTTTAATGCAGGCTTTTGCTAATTAAACAAAACAGTACGCAAATATGTGGCCATTTTGAAACATCCATAGCGGTTCATCAACACTTCAAGGCTGTACTTAAAAAAAACAACCACAACAGAAAAACGCTTAATCTCATTATTGAAATTTCCCCATTTCCCTCTTTTTTCTTTTTGGTGGGGTGGGATCCTAACTAAATATTTCAATCATATGTACAAGGAAACACGCTTTTCCTAATCTGTACTGTAATATTTCGGTGCCATAAAGTCGCCATGGTGGCAACTTTAATCATAGAGTCTTTTTATTTTTTGTTTTGTATTTTTTTAAAAAAAATCCGAATGAATGGGCTCAGGTCTGAGGTGAAAAGGAGACGAACAATGGCACCAATCTATCCCGAGTTAGCAGCAAAGACATAAATAAGACGCCTGTACATCTCTGGCCGTCCTAGAATATGGAGGTTTCCCTCTGAGCAAGCGACCGCCGCCCCCCCTTTTTTTGTCCCTGGAAGCCATTCCACCAATTTCCAGTCTTTCATATTAACACCGATGCTCCACTTCAAAGTTTGTTTGGTGTGATTTTTTTTTTTAAAGAATCTTGATACCATCTGAAGCGTATCCTAACCTACACTTTGGAGACCTGACTATGTACATCACTCCCTTCCATGTCCATTTATCCTACCGATCCAGAAATTCACAGTTAATTGCAAATATATATAGATATATATATAAATAAGTATATATTTTAATCAAGCCTTTGAAAGTCGTCAGAACCATTACAATACGAATTATATCTATCTATATATATATATATTCCTGGAGGAACATAAGAGGGGAGGGGTAAAGGGAGATGTAAAGAGCAACTAAAGAGAGGGTATGGTGGCAACTCCGTACACACACCCCCGCCTCGTTGTAAGCATTGTTTTACTCCCCTGACTTTTCCTCTGTTTCTTCTCCCGGCTGGGTGGAATTGATGAGTTTGCTTTCTTTTTTCCATTTCATCCTCCTGTTCTGAAACCAGATTTTAATCTGCCGCTCAGTGAGGCAGAGAGCGTTCGCTATCTCAATCCGTCGCCTCCTGGTTAAATATCTGTTATAGTGAAATTCCTTCTCTAACTCTAAGGTCTGGTATCTGGTGTAGGTCTGCCTGCCCCGTCTGCCGTGCGTTCCGTATACTGCACCTATGGAAGGAAAGACAAGATGGTCTCAGTTGGAGAGGCCTTCGTGCTTTCTGTTAACAATGGAGGAAAACTGCTTCGAGCTGCGCTGGTGTGGTGTGTTTCCCCCCCCCTCTCTCCCCCACCCCCAGCCCATATCCTTGCATAGGAAGATATAAGGAGATGCGTGGGGAAAGTTCAGTCCCTTCCTCAACGTTTCCCGGGTCAAATTTTCCCAGGGATATCTAAGTTGGTAGCAGAACTTTGGGAAGCCAATGTTCGTATTGACGTCGGGGCTAATATTCCGCGCTCAACGCGCAGAAAATACTCTCATATGGCACGCAAACGGGCACATATGCACACGCTGTGACTGACTCTGTGTGGGGTGTGTAACATTTCTATCTCGCTATGGCGTCGGCAAAAACTCAGGCTGCAATCCTATACCCATCTGCCTGGGAGTAAACCCCATGGAACTCAACAGGACCTACTTATAAGTGAACATGCCTAAGATCACGCCGATAGGGTACCTGGGCAGGATCCGGACAAAGTTAAGCAGCTCCATTGGTTTTCAGAGGCATACTCGAGCAGGCGCACGTCCTTAACTCTGTTCGATTTAAAATAAGTGCGACCTGAAAGTGCTTAACTTTGTCTGGACCACGACCTTTCATAATAATTAAAGCAACAGATACCAGTTTCTGAGCTCATTTATTTGCAAGGCCATCGATTTCAGTAAAGCCTACTTTCAAGTAAGTGCTCTTAGGATAACAGCCTAGAAACGAACATAATTACAAAGAAATAAATCCTAGTATGCATTCTTAAAGCAACAAGCCCCCGCCCCTGCAGTGTTATATTTACTGCAGTGTGGTACCCCCAAAAGAAACAAACTCACAACGGAGAAGGTAAACTTATGAAGGAAAAACCTGAATAAAAATGCGTTGTGGAGTTTAAATTTTGCATGTCTTTTCCAAACTTCCCCTTTAAGATGGACAAAGGATGAAATTCTGATCCATTGAAATCAATGGGAATTTGGCCATTGACCAAGTTTCCTCTCTTCCCACCTCCTCCGCCCCCAGTAGATGATTTGTGTGCGTGCACATATTACTGGAAAACGTGCATTCAGTAGCTAATACTTACACACTAATGAGTGGGTGAAGGGAGGGGGAAGAGAGGATCTGTCTTGCAAATATATTGAGCAGTCAATACAGAGGGCATAGTCCTCTGCATCAGTCTTTGGCTCTCAGGGAAGCGGGCTTCTTTTAATCATGATTATTTCCTACTAGTAGCAGCAGTAACCACCATCCAAGCCTACAACGAGCACCAGATCTTAGTACTTTATACCGAACTGGCTCTCAGGTATGATTGCAACCTTTATCTGCTGACTCAGACTTTAGGCGACCTTTCCTTTAAAAAATAAATAAATGCATACTTCTTCAAAGTAGCCCCCCCACCCCCACCTCACCCCGCCCAGCAAAGTGTCAGGATAGAGGAGAACCTGGAGAGGAATCTCAGTCTACCCACTTGCTTGCAGGTGACACTGGTTTTCACAGATCCACCTTCCCGCCCCCCCTGCAAAAAACCCTCTCATATTCCTCCATCCTCCCCCAAAGCCCTTTATCTCTCTCCCCCCTCACCTTCACTTTCACCCTCCCTCGCCCGCCCACCCCTAGAGTCTTGCTTGCATCCCTGTGACTTACCAGCGCACGAGTTCATCCTTTGCATCCAAGGATAAACAGGACTGCTGTACTTCCGGTCGCTTCCTTCCTCGTTTAGGATTTTGGCCGGCCCGCTCTCGGGCTTGTACTGCTGGTCAGAAGCAAAGCAGGGCAGATAGTCCCCAGGGTGGCTGGCCCTTTGCTTGCCACTGCCGGAGGGCGAGGAGGCGCCGCCCAAGTCCTTGTCTGGATAGAAGCAGGAGGCTCCATAGTCATAGGATGCCCGGTTGCAGGCGATGACCGTGTTGGTGGACTGTTGATAGAAGCAAGGTGAGGAGTAGGTCTTGTCCTGCAGGCTGCCGGCTCCATAAGAGGCTGGGAAGTGCCTCAGAGCCTCGTACCCAGCTGGGTAGATGGGGATCTGCCCGAGGAAGGACTCCTGCCCATTAGGCAGGCTCCCCGGGAAAGTGGGATTCACAAAATAGGAACTCATTGACGCTCCCCAGATCCCGGACCGTGATTTGTTGTGTATTAGTACATCTGGCTATAACTATTAGTAGTCATCGAAGTGGTTTGTTTCTGGATGGCCGAGCGCCAAAAGCGACAGCAGCAAATAGCACCAGCTGATGGCTCGGCGACCAATGAGAGAGCGGCGGAGGGCCCTTCTCCCCTGGGACCCGCCGCCACCGAACCAGCAAAGTTACAAACAACACCCCCCCCAGCCGCCGTATCTCAGCCGCCGCCGGAGCCCGGCAGATGGATGGCAACTTGGAAACAGCGGTTATCGTCCGCTGTGCCAAAAAGCTGGAGGCGGGGGGGGGGGGAGGCTAGAGAGGAATTGGGTGTGTGTGTGTGTTGTTTGTATAGATAAATAAATCAAGGTGATTGTAGACACCCAGAGCACAGCCCCGCTGGCATCTGTAGGCAAAAGAGGCACCTCTGCAAAGTTAGGGTGTCTAGACTGAAGGCGTTATGAAGCAGCACCCAGGAAACTCCCCATTGCCCCCTCTCCATTGATGCTCCCGCCAGGACCCCTCAGCCTCCCCCCTCCCCGGAAGATGAAAGCAAGGCAGCCGGTTGGTTGATTTATGTGGTATCTAAGAATTTTAAAAATATAATAAGAAAATGTCAAACAAGTTCGAAAACGGGAACTTCTGCTCACTGACCGGATTAAAAAGAGACCACCTCAATTAAAAGCTTCAATTATTTTCACATATTCCTAGTCCGGGGTGGGGCGGGGAGAATAAGCTTAGTCATACAAGGCTTCCCAAAATGTTTCGATTCAGATAATAATAATAATTAATAATAATATCGAATACCGCTTAGCCTAGTTTTATTTAGTTAGTAAGAAAACACGCGCGCGCAGATACGTCTCTCTGCAATAATTCTTCTTCTTTGAGCCTCTTGGTGACTGAGGAAAATAATCTCGCCTTTTAAGCTTGACCCAGACAATTTTAATAGGAAATCGGAAAGCAGGAAAGAAGTGAGGATGTCTCGACGTGGTTGTTATTGTGTGTTGGCAGTGGGTGGTTGTTTTTTTTGTGTTATTGTTTTTGGCAAAGGAATCCTCTCGAAAGTAGCTGAGGACAAGACATCAGAAGCTTTGAAAAGGCTGAATCATTCCGGCAAGGACGGGCTTGCTTTTCTTGTTGACATTTTTTAACTCGTCAAGGAATATATCTGCAGCTTTAGTCCTTGTTTTTGTCTCCGTCTGGCAGGCAGAGGGGAAACCCGTCATGGCGAACTCTGCACAAATGCCCTTTATAGCCAGTACTTTGGGTGGGTGGGGGGCTGCCCTTCTTCACCTTTATATTTAACCTGGCTGTTGTGGACTCCCCCAGACATCACCTAGCAAGCACCACACTGTAATCCCTCCCCCACAAACGTGGTGGAAATTTTAGGGTGATGAAAAGAAGGCAGTACGCCTAGGCCTAAGGTAGCAGAGGTGCTAATGCTAACATCTGATAGATCCACGCTTTTAATACATTTGATTCATTTCTAAGCAGGTTTACTCAGAAGTAAGTCCCCCCCCAGCCCATTAGGACTTTGGTCCCAAGTAAAGTGTCTTTTGGACAGAGGCCCACAAAATATTTTTAGGTGGCAATTGCCTGGGTAGCGATTTACACTTCCCTCCACAAGACTCGAGTTTTTGAATGGGCGCTTTAAAAACTATCCCTCAATTGGCTTGAAAGCCGTGAGCTTTGTCCCCAGTTGCAATCTGGTTTGTTTCATTTCCGGAGTCCCATTACGGGATCTATAAAACAGCAGTAAGTTAAAACGTCTCCCCACTGTGTGCATTGTTTGCGCCCCTCATCGGGGTTTCACAGGCAACTCTCGATTACCTCCAATAATGGCGAGTGCTTTCAAAGAACTTCCCCAATCTTTCAGCTAAAAGGTTACCTATAAATGCAATCGATAGTATAGGTGGGAGAGCTCAGAAGCAGAGGAACAGGAAGCTAACCATTCGCCGAGGACAACAAAAAATGAGTAAATCACGTTTCAAACATTTTTACAGTGCAGCTATATAACGTCAGGATGCACAAGGCACTCGAAAGTGGGAAACTTCATACGGTTGAAGGACAGGTAAAACATTTCTTCACTCTCTATTAATATTTTCAGGAAGTTGTGCTGGGGTTCCCCATCCCATCAGTTTTAATGAACCAAAATGCCACTCTCAAATCATCCCGCAAAGACCAGCAGCCAGGAAAAATACAAACTGTAGGGAAGTGTCTGTAAATTCAGCGCAATATAAGGAAGGCATCGCCCTCATTTTTCTTTTACTCACCAAGAACCAAATAAAGCAGAATTAAAAGTACGAAAGTGCATGCAACGCTCACCAGGTCTCTTAACGAGGTTACTTAGCAAGATGCAATGTAATAATAATAATAATGTCATGGTTGCATTCCAATGTACAAATATATATATATATCAAGGTCTGCCAGTAGAAAAAGTCGCCCCTCCCCAGCTAGAGGTTCCGAGACCCACATCTGCTAAGCAGAAGCCTTGCCATAGACTGCAGCTTCTCAAATGAACCCAGACAAACTCCCGGAGACACATTCCTGACCCAAGCAAGGTAAACAGCTGGAGTGGCCCCGTTTAAAAGAAAACATGCAAAACTCCAAAAAAAATTTTTTTTAATATAGCAGTACCCATCGATTTAAAATGTGTGACTACCCCGTTTAACAGTGCGAGGATTTCCCCCCATCCACCCCCTTTGCTCTCGGGCTTTCATTCAATCGAAGCCATAAGTCAAACAAAGTTAGAATACAGGTGCGGGGGGCAGTTACCCTCTTAAGCTTAAAAGCTCCGTTTCCCTAAGGTATAAATCCACTTGCAAATCCTTCTTAGGTTCAGAGGTGTAACAGAAAGCAACATTTAGCTAACAGCCGCTAATCCAAACAGTTCTCGCAATCCCAGCTATTGTTTAGACTGGACGTGTTAGTAGCCCTTCCTGGTCCTTCCAATTCACCACGCCAAAACATTCAGTTCAACAACAATATCTTTCCGGGGTGTCCCCTTCAAATCCCGTCTGCCACGTAATTTTTTTTAAGCTCTCGCGGAAAAAGAATCCTTAAAGCGATACGGCTTGAGGTGGGCAACTGAAGGCCGATTTTTACAAATAGAGTTTTCCAATGGAGAACCACCCGCTACGTTCTGCGGGTCTGTGTGTGTGTTTGGATGTGTGTGTGTGTGTGTGTGTGATACTGGCGGTTGCCCCAGCTCACTCTGCGTCCAGTACCACCTTCAACCACACAGTGGCAGCACTGAGTACACTCCACTTGGCGATAAATAATCCGACTGCGGTTGCAGTCAGCCAGATACTGCAATGCAATGCACACGTAATTCTTTATCAGCTCGGAGAAGTGGGGGGGGGACACCCATCGTTCTGAACACATAAGATAATTGCTTCTCATCTTTAACAACTGAAATGAATATTTGAAGATATGCAATCCGAAATAATTTCCTCCCAGAAAACCATTTTAAGGAGACGACACAAAATGGGCGAATCACACAAAATTACGTACTCTTACGAAAATATTGCTTCACAACACCCCTCCACCTATACCAATTTTGAGGATAATTTTCTATTATTTCATTAACTTGTTTTTCTCTCACATCCACACAAACACTCCCCCGTCTCCACCAAACAAAAAGCCGCATTTTGTGATTCTGAAGTAAGATTCCTTATTGCATTTAATCCTTAGTTATCATTAAGGAACAAGCTGCATTTCGGGACTTAAAAAAGCTCCTAATGTTATCCAGGCGCCATACGATATACGTGACTACCATGCTATTGTACGTACTTCTCCATCTGAAGATGGAGCAGTCCAGTGCATGTATAATCTAACCTCTGACGTTACCGGAATTAATTTCCACCTAACATCTAAAATGAAGCGATAAGCTCCTAAACTCTCTATTTACATCGACAGATCTCATAGCAACAACAACCACGCATTAAACACCAAAAAAAGTCAAAACGCACCCGCTTTGCTAAAATACACATTTTAGAAGCATTCCAGCTCTGCCTTACTATCAACGCAGCATTTAATGAGACGGATTCTAAAATCTCCCGTGGCTTCAAAAAAATACAGGTTATTCTTAAGCAAATGTAGCTGCAGCCGGTGCTAAAATAGCCTATCTACAGGCTCACTAGCAGTTCTGGTCTGTTTTGATTGCACCCGGCACAATCCAGGAAGCTTAGAGAGTCAATTGGCACCACCGCACCTTTGGCGGATCAACATTCTATGTCTAATCTGTTTCAGAGAAGGATGCTGATTTTCCAGGTTTGTCTAGTCTAATGTTATAACAGGGATTGCTCGCTCATGCTGGTAGTTCTCTGAATTTCTCACCTTTTTAGGTTCTGGCTTGCAGGAGCCCCTGCTACTTTGACAGCTGTCGCTTTGGCTGCACCGGAGACGAATCGCCCTCCTTTTGGTGCCAGAAGAAGCAGGAAATTAGCCAGGTTGCGAGTTGAAAATCTGCCACTCCAGCGCTTTGAATCCAATATGCCACACCTTCCGGCGGAGGAACTGGAAATTGCCATCCAAGACCTGCGTTCTAGGCGACTGCCTGCTCTGAACCTCCATCCACCCGGCTCCCTATTGACTTACAAAGGACAAATGAAAATCGGGGGTGGTGGAGGTGGGGGGGGGGACGACTGAAAAGCCAGAGAGATCCGAAGCAGGACAGAGCTGAGCAAAAGAATGCAGCTCTATTCTCGCCAGGGAAATTATAAAAAAGTTCATGTTCACGGTTGCCATCCACATGACCACCGGCAACCAATGGAGGAACGGAACCACTCATAAAGTTGTATTGCAAAGTTGTAAATTTTCATAAACAACAACGGATTTATGGCTCTTTCCTCCTCACTAAGAAAGAGGCAGGACTTAGAGAGGCGCCATTTTACCAGAGAGGCAAGCTCTAGATTTTTTAAAGGACCCACAGTCTGGACAATTTTTGAATTGTATTTTATAATAGGGCGAATATTAAAACTGTGCCACACGCTTTTAACAGAGTAGCAGGAAATCTGCCCTTATTCACTCACCACTCTTATTTATCTTTCCATATATATATATGTATATATATATATGTGTGTGTGTGTGTGTGTGTGTGTGTGTGTGTATATATATATATATATATATATGAGAGAGATAACACTTAGTTTTGCTTTAAATGAATAAAAAGGGGGCGGAGAGAGAAATTGCTCGTAGGAGAAATATTTTGGGAACATGCTATGGAAATAGGTTCTATACGTGTTATATCTTTGCTGATGGCTTTGTCGTTAATTCCGTGTTCTGGGGGCTACCGTGCTCCCTACAGACGGCGCCTTAAAGCGCCTTATAGTCATTCCATTCCAGAAATTTCAGGGACTTCCTCTCCAAAGTGCGGACTATACCAGCCTATATATACCTCGCGAGATGCGTTTGAAAAACAAATCCTGAATTAGTTAATTAGGACCTACTTGGAAATCAGATGTATGTTTTCCAACGAACCAGTAGACTCATCTTAAGCAAAATCTCTCTTTTGTATCCCCATTATACTATGGGGAAGGAACTCTGATTGGAATCCACGAGATTTCCGCCCAAGTAATATTTGGGTTGCTTGCTGGGTGGCTAGCAGCCCGCTCGCTCATTCTCATATATAAAGTAGATCACTGTAAGAGCAGATCTTAGTGATTATATTAACATTTATTTCCAAGTACCAGGTTGACAGAGTTATCGTTAGTTGCTTTGGGTTATTTTGTATATACTCGGGACTTTCGCATTTGGATGCGGGTCTGCCTGCGTGCCTAGATGTGTATATAAATGTTTATATAGATATGTAACTTTTAATAATAAAAAAGAGAGGATATTTTGTCAACAAGCATTTTTTTATTTCTGTGTAACATAAAACACATCGAACGTGGGCGATACACGACAGCACCTCCGAAGAGTATTCACGCAGACGCACACACACACGCACTTCCCGCCCCCTTCAATTTTAACACGAGATACCTCAATGTTCACAGTGGAAAAAACACATTGTAACGTACATTTTATGAATAAAGTTTAGCCAAAACTTTCAAGGCAGAATTTATTTATACAGAGTTGTCGACGTTGCTTCATGCTACAAAGTTTGCCTAACCAGGTACGGGCTTCCCAGCAGATGACATGGTATATTTATCAATGAGGTCCAAGAAAATCAGAAATGGCTCAAGCCTCCCTCGATCCAATATACAATATTCGTTCTTTGTTATGAAAATTAACGCTGCTTCAGACTTAACACATTCTGGCAATAGGGAGAAGGGAATAAGGTGGCTGAGAATAGCTATATGTGGCCGGTGCTTAAATTCACATCTTTCTTTTTTTTTCAATTTGTTGCTTTGTGTTTTTTTTTCAGTTGCATCAAGCAGAATGGTAGAAAACTCAAAAGGGAACACTAAATCGGCCTTGAGCAGAGCCGCACAAAAAGGATGCGATGAAACCGCTTTGTACAAATCCATTGCGATGGTTTAACCTCCATCAAATTCGGCCTAGCGAAGACTTGTGTGACGAAAGCTTACATTGCAGCATATTGTTTCCACTTAATAACAGCCTTAGAATAAATATATTATTATTATTATTTAAAAACTTTAAATTATACTCAACAATACCAGGCATCAAATCCTGTGGCGGACTTGGGAAGGCCTCCCATTTCAATTGTTTTCCCTTTTACACCTTATGCGCTGCGCTTCAGGTCCTGCAAGGAAGTCCGCTTTAAGTATCGTCATCTTTCCTTTTTGCATTAATAAAATACAGCATAATTTTGAAGATAGGTAGGCGGAGCTAGATAATAGGTAGTTTGGAAAATAGGTAGTACAAATCACTGCAGCTGAGTGTAGTGGTTTAAGTCATTGTTTTCCCCCGCATGGAATTCGAAATTCCCCACCCACCCCCAAATCCTTCTTCAGGTTATTTTAAACAAAGAAACAAGAACAAAGAAATTCAGTAACTGGAAGTACATCGATCCTCAGCGTAAATTAGGTAGTTTGAGTGTGAGCCTAATGCACTTATCCCTTAGCGATTGATTGGGACCAGTACAGTCAGGTAGTTTATTTGGAAGTTAAACTATATGCGGCTCCCCAGCGTTTTCCCCCCTTTTTCTTTTTCTTATTATGTGCAAGTTACGACACCCCCCTCCCCTCACAGATATCAGGGCGGGGAGAAAAATCTATCCGTCTATCATGTAACAAAAAATAATAATACAACAGGTCTGGACATTCACAGCCAAACTGGTCCGGGTGTTCAAGTGATAATTTTACTCTTAGTTTACACAGAGCTGTGTCTCGGATGCTCTGGGAATGCGGAAGGGCCAGTCGAGGTGAACTCGCCTCTCCCCCCATCCCTTATAATTGGAATTGGCGATTGCAAGGGTCTCCTTTTTAAATAGATTTTAATTATTATTTGAAGAGAGCGTTTACAATGTCACGTGCATACAGAAGACGAGCGCTGGGCTCCGGCGAGCGAGAGCCCGGGAGAGGGGGGGGGAGTTGTCCGTTCATTCCGCTTCCTCTTCCTCTTCTTCCTCCTCCTCCTCTACTTTCTCCACAGAGGCAGTAGCTGATGTGCTGTCGTTGGCCGCCGGGGCGCCGCTGCCGCCGCCGCCGCCGCCTCCAGCTTCTTCTTTATGTTCCTTCTTCCATTTCATGCGCCGGTTTTGAAACCAAATCTTGATCTGCCTCTCGGTCAGGCACAGGGCGTGGGCGATCTCTATCCGCCGCCGCCGGGTCAGATAGCGGTTGAAATGGAATTCTTTCTCCAGCTCCAGAGTTTGGTAACGGGTATAGGTCTGACGCCCTCTCTTCCTATCCGGACCTGAAGAGAGGATTTGGGGAGGCCGGGGAAGAACCACCGAAGTTAGAGAACCAGGAAATAGTTTTACAACACTGGCAAACAAATGAAAAACAAATCCCTTCTATTTCCTATTCTCTCTCTCTCTCACACACACACGAGTCCCCCCCCCAATAAATGTATGTATGTATGTATGTATGTATGTATGTATATTTCGGAACAGGACAGCAGCACTTCAATCTTGCTCATGCCTACTCAGAAGTAAGCTCCATTGAGTCCAGCAAGGCGTAACTTCCTGGCCAGTTTGTAGAAGCTGACCGTCCAATTCTGAGACACGTCTACTCGGAAGCAAATCCCACCGACTTCCTGCACAGTGTATTAAAAACTGAAGGCTTAGCTTTCCCTCAAGTGCCCGGGGCAAAGGCGACAAACCGGGTGGGTGGAGGAATTCGGGTTTTAACCAGGTAGTTTAAATAAATAAACCCAGGCGGGGGAAAGAGGGCGAGTGACTGAAAGCAAACTCTCTCGGGTTTGCCCGCTACATTCCAGACTCTGGCGGAAGGCAAAGCGGTGTCTGGAACTCAGGGCTCGCTTTTGCTCCCAGTTAAAAGGGCAGGTCTTCCTGTCCTCCCGCAAAATTAACTGCAGGTTCGGGTTTGCATCGCTCCAATAACCCATTTCTTTATTGACATGCCTACCACTGACCGTCTATATTTCTTGCGGAGGGTGGGTCAGATTAATAATAGGGAATCAAACGTTTTCGCTCACTCCAAGAGAAAGCTCCATTTCCCCCCCCCCCATATATTTTCTCTCTCTCTCTCTGATACGTCCCCCACCCCAGTCCGCACCCCCGGCTCTTCTCTCACTCAGCATTACTCCCCCCCCTCCTTCGCCAGTGCGGGCGAGGAGAAGCGAGGCTCTCCCCCTGCCAGTCTCGGGGCACCTTCGCCATCACCCTTCCCATATTTCCCTAGGGCCCCGACCAAAAATTCAACCCAACGCTCCCATTCCATATCAGGGGAGGGAAAGAGAAAGAGAGAGAGAGAGTTAAATAAATTTACGAGGCTAGAACCCATTAATTGGGCAATAAAAAGTTTTATGAGACTCATTTACATACAATGCCACGGGCTTTCTGCGCAATGGCGCCGCTTGCTCTAATTAAAAGCAGGCAGGCAGGGCAGGCGCGCGCGCGCTCCTTGCGTGGAAGTTGCCCCCGCACCCGCGTGGAAGTTGCCATCCGCCTGCCTGGCAGCGCTTTCAATCCAACGCCCCCCCCCGCTCAGCCCGGCCTTCCCCGCCCGCATCTCGGTTTTGTCCCCCCACCCCCCTTCCTTCCTTCCTTCCTCCCCCATACCTGAAGACCTCATCCAGGGGTATATCCGGAAATTACTCTCCGCCTGGCTGTGCAGGTTGCTGTCCTCCGCTTTGTCACAGCTGGGTTTGGTTAAGTCATTGCAAAGGACGGGAATGTTCTGATCAAAAGTGGAGCAATGCAGGTTGTAGGCATCCGAGCCCAGGCTGTATCCGGAAGAGAACGGGCTTTGATATATGGTGCTGTTCACGTTGTACAAGGCAGGCATGGAGGAGGTGAACGCGCTAGCGCCTGGTCCATAGCCGCTTCTCTGCGAGTTGGTAGCAAAGGAGCAAGACGTGGGCTCCGCATTTTGGAAGAGGGAAGCAGCCCCCGTCGTATATTTGCTAAAAAGAGCGTTCACATAATACGAAGAACTCATAATTTTGACCGGTGATTTGTGGTCCGGTAGGCTTCCGTGTCGGTTTTACGAGGTAGCGTGATATATGATAACATTACACCCCCAGATTTACACCAAACCCCATTTTCTTTTGGACTGAGCTGCCTCCACCACGTGACCAGTCATATGACCCCATCCTCCAATCTCCTCCTGCATCACAGGTGGTATAGATCAGGGTGGCTCACAAGGTCCTATGATGGAAGGGGAAGAGGATCGAGCCGACGCCTGGCCGATTCGAAGGCGAGGGGGAGACTTGGCCGCTCCGGCAGCTCCAACGGGGCCCGGGTTCCCGGAGAGGCTCCGGATAAAGCCGAGGGAGCGCCGAGATCAGCCCCGAGGCAGAGGGAGCGAGAATAAGAAACCCAGTGTTTTGAAATACACATTTTCCCCTTTGCATCTTTATCCTCTCTACCCCTTTTCTCCTCGTCTTTTCTTTTTTTAAGGGGAGGAAAAGGCATTTCTGTTCTGCTCCTCCATATACCCCACTCCTCAGTCATGTTTCCTGCAGAGCTGGAAATAAACCACAAACACAAGTCTGAGTTTCCATGTACGTTTCCTGTTTGTTTTTCTTGTTTCTTATCTCTCTCCGCCTTTCAGCTCTTCCATATTCCGAAAGGGGAGGGGTAGAACTGCGGGAGGGAAAGCACATTTAAAAAATAAATAAATACAAAGGCAAAGTGCCCATAAAAATACCCCCATAGTAAAAACAACCACCACCATTATGCAGGATGTGTTATCTGCGACTGTCTATCTCAAGTGTGTGTGTGTGTGTGTGTGTGTGTGTGTGTGTGAATGAACTCATTTGGCAAATCCTTCTGTATCCTGCTCACATTTATTTTTCCTCAGGAAAGGAAAGAGTGAAATATTTATATGAGAGGCTTCCCAATTTGCTCGCAGATTTATTAAGATATTGACAGACATATTCGGCTAATCGCTGCTGGCGAGATGAGTGAAGGGTTGCTAAATACGTGTTCTATCATCTCTCTCTCCCTCTTTTGCCAAATTCTCTTCCTCAGCAACAAAACACAAATAGAGAAAAAGCACAGCATATCTGAGGGAGGACGGGTGGGTATCTTTCCTAAAAAGAAAGAGGAGGAGGAGGAGGAGGAGGAGAAGAAGAAGAAGGAGAAGAAGAAGAAGAAGAAGAAGAAGAAGAAGAAGAAGAAGAAGAAGAAGAAGAAGAAGAAGAAGGCATGTGTCTACTTTTGCCTGTTCCTTTTACTCCAGGAAGGTTTATATCCAGGAGGGAGTTTTGTTTTGTTTTGTTTTGTTTTTGTTTTTCGGTGATAATGCAGCCGGGCTGCCTTTACTGGTACGGATTTATTCTATGCATTAGCATGCATATTTCAGCCACCACCACCCCAAAAAAAATGATACAGTGGGAAATAAAATAAAAACAAACGGACTTTCAGCACCTCTTATTTAAAAAAAATAAAAAATCGAAGAGACTAGGGATGCGGACTCAGGTTTCTTTGTTTCATCCTGGCTTCTTCTTTCTCCTCCCCCGCCCCCGGGGTAAATAAATACCTACCTCTGACTTTATGTGGTGGTGTTGGTGGTGGCGAGAGCGGTGGCGCGTGTGTGTGTGTGTATGTGTGTGTGTCCGTCCCAGATCTCCCATAAGGCAGCTCCTTAATTTCTAAACACTCGGCCCCCACTAAGCAATAAGAGGACACGCCATTGAGGATGTTGCGCCCTACCCTTCCTTTAAAACGGATCGTAAAACTAGTTTCCTTCCCTCAGACGGGGGAGTTTTGGTAAAGACAGCTTTTACTGCCCTGCTATATTGCACACCATAAACTGGAAGGAGGACAATGAGATTGCCCCGGAAATTCTCCCTTTAGATTATAGAGTTTGGTATCCTGTGTGTACAAAGAGGTTCTCACCAGTTTAAAATTATGCCTGGCCCATATTTCGCAGGGACCCTTCAGAGGGGCACATTTTGGCAACCCATGGGAGGGAAGGGGGGGAGGGCTCAGCTAAGGGGCCTGAGGAGGCCCGGGTGCAACAGGGGCTGGAGAGAGGTGTTGGTGTACAGTTTTGGGAAGGAGGAACATTATTATCATGAACTCGTCTTCACAATCAGTGATATGGACTGGAGCCGGTCCTGGGCGCGGAGACCGCCCTTCGAGGTTTGCTTTGCTATTCCTGCGAGAGAACAGTCTGGTTGCATCGACAGACGTCTTTGGTTTTCATTCCGCCAAGATCGGTCAAGGCACCAAGATGGCTGTCAAACCCAAAAGAAGAAAATGTGTGTGTTGGGGGGGGGAGGCGGCGTGTGATGCAAGATTGAGGGGCTGCTACAATAATAATAATACCCCCTTAAAAAAAATAACCTTGAAATTTTAAGAAAGAAAGAAAAGCCTCCTGAGAAAAATAAAAGAGGACTAAGAAGTTAGAAGGGAAGGCGAAAGAAAACCTGCCAAAGACGACGAGCCAGATCAAAGAAGCGGAATTAGACGGCATTCTGCCAATAAATTGCTCCTCGGGTGACAACGCAGCCAAGATGCCAGAAGAAAGCAGCAGCAAACAGAACCGACAGTCTAGACTTGGGTATTGATAAGAGCAAGACAGAATTTTATCGATGAGTCTTTAAAGGACACCGTTAAGTGCAACTAGCTTTGAGGCCGAGGTCTGGGAGCATCAAACCGCACACTGCTTTCTTAGACGTGTGTGTGTGTGTCTCAGTTCTGCTGGGATTATATAAATATATTTTAAAATCGCGTTTGCCTAAAGTCACTTCTTGGAAACGCTATTTAAATTCAGAAGACCATCACACACACACGCACACACACACACACACACCGTTGTCCACGCCTCCCCTCCAGGAAATAGGGCGTTTTATAATAAAGTCTCAGGACTAACCCTCGCTAAACGGAATGTCCCTTCGCAATGAGCTCCGAATCACCTCCAAAGTATAGACTTCCAGTATAAATAGCAAAAAAGAGGGGGGAAATGATTATTCACTTCTAAGCCATGTTTCCTGGACATATTACCGGTACATGAATGCGGAAATTTAATGGTGTCCAGTTTTCGAAGATGCCTCTATTCTCCATCCCACTTAAAAATAAAAATAAAAGATACGTTGGAATGGATACTGCTTAATTATTTAAAGTTTTCCCTAGGTCACTCATTCCATCCAAAGTGCCCTCTCCGCCCCCTTTAAAAAATTGTAACCTGGAAACTGCTGCTTTCTAGGTTTCTCTAAACAAACCTCGTTTAAAAACTACCTCCACCCACAGAATAAAAAGTTTAAAATAACGAGGATGATTTAAAAACACACACACCAACTGGTCATTCTGCAGGGTGGTTTATTTTGGGATCAAGCAAAGAATTTTCTGCAATTTGGACTTGGGGTATTATTCCGCTGTTTCAGATGCCTTCTTCCTCCTTTATTCCCTCCATTGATCACCCATTGTCCAAATTACTTACAACAAATGTATATATTTGTGTTTGCATTTCACTGTAACTGAAGCCATTGAGGACAAGCTACATTAAAAGTACACACGAGACAATAAGAATTAACATTAAAAGCTGCCATCACCAGTCCTTCGTTCATATAAACGACATTTTCTACTAGGGATTTGTATTAAGTAGAGTATATGTAAGTTCCATCCTAAATAAATGCACAATAAATTACCAGTCTTTTTTAGGAATCCTCCTGGATTCCTACTAAGGGATTACAATGAAATACCTTTGATAATCACATTTAGTGGGAAACGTTTGACTGCTAAACGTTCTTTTTCTTTTTTTTTTTTTGCAGGGAAAAAAGACGCAAACTTAAAGCATTTCCCCAATAATGTTGTCTTTCTTGGCTCTTAATTTTGGTACAGTAGGCACACATTTGTGGTTTGATTGTCTTATTTATTCACAAACATCGAGTCCATTCATCTATCTTCCGTATGTGTGTTTGTGTATATGGCTCAATTACTAATCGATGGAGCCGTAGAATTCAGAAGTGAAGGAGAGAGGTATATATATATATATATATATATATATATATATATATATATACACAATATATACTATATATACTATATATACATAAACATATACACACACACACATACATATATCTATATATATGAAAGAGTAAATAAAATGCCGTAAGAGTTCCAGCCTAGATTCGTACAGGCATCTTAGTCATGCGGTGTTTTAGCACTGTTATCATCTGCACTGCATAATTAAACCGGGTCCCACAGAGATGAAATTGCTTAAGGAAGCGAGCGGGAGCCTTTAACTGCCTCAAAGACATCTGGTGAAGAAATTCAGTGGCCGGTAAATAATTTTCAAATTAAATTTTGTTGCCGAGCCACCAACTTAGAGCCTCTGTTCTGGCCCGGCGAAAAGAACGTCGTTTCAGAAAGATTCTGGCCCGGATCAGAACTGGAACCAAAGGCAGGGATCATTGGCTGAATGAGAGATTAAGATGGAGCCATCCATGTTCAGCATCTCAAAAGCTCGCCCATTGCATTGTGAAAACTGTTTGCTCCTAATAAATACTTTTTAAAAAAATTGATCGGAATTTTTTTTAAAAAAATAAAATAAAAAACCCACGTCTAACTGTGTTGTTGTTGTTTTTAAATACACACTGAGCATGTTTCTTTAACAACAACGCCGCGTTTCAATCACCAGCACCCGCATTCCAAGCGCTTTGAGATTCCCGGCTATAAAAATTGCTTATGCGGCCTCAGTATAGCGTAGTGCAGTCCTATACAGGTCTACTCTGAAGTAAGAAGCCTCGCTGCATTCATTGGGGCAGATTCCCAGGTAAATTGCCTAAGCCATGAACGGGTTAATACAAACGATTATGTTGCGTGAGTATATCTGCTTTGACTTTGTGCATTATATATCTTTACATTATATATCCGTTATGCATTTTCATTAGTCGATTACAATGTACACGGGATGTTTAACCCAAATGCATCTGTATAAGCTTAAACTGTTTAAATATAGTCTCACTGTACATGTGTTTGATACGTGCACTCAGGCGCACGACATATTATTTGCTCTTACTGCGGTCAAATTAGCAGTATTCTTGAAGCAGGCTTCAAGCTGAGAGGGGAAAATC